GCAAATGGCGTCCCTAGGATGACAGGAAAAATAGGGCCCAAGATGGCGGCTGTGGACCAGGTTAGGGCAGCCAGAGCAATTCAGAAGATGAAGCCAATGAAATGAATGTTTTGTAGAGCTGGATGTCTTGAAAGAAGATTGAGATAGTGGGTAAAAAATGCTAAGTAATTGAAGTCTAAGCAAGTGAAAGCAGAGGGTCAAAAGATAATACCCCAGTCTGAGAAACAAAAAAAAGCAATGTAAGTATGTTATTTAGAGACATGGAATAGATACCAAATTATCATCAAAAATAATGTGGAGACCCTTAGGGATGGAAACAAGGAGAGGAGTTAAGCATCTCAAATTTGCAGAACTATTTTACTTTTTAAAGCAAGTATATACAGCTTAGATAGAGATAATAACTTCTAATAGGAAAAGAAAAACAAAATATGATTACTCACCCTGTCTGGAGTACTCAGTACAGGACACCACAAGGCACCATTCCTCCTGGCACATTACCTCCTGCATTCAAGCCATGTATTCCTCATGTTTTTCTTATAAATTAATGTTTTGAACCTAAATCCAGAGCTTTCCTTCTTGCTAAATTTCACCTTATTGATTTTTTACATCCTTAATCCATTTGGTTAAAATAATTTTAAATGCTGACATTGACATCCAGGAGATTCTCTCTTTTAGCTTTGTGCAGTCAATAAATTCAATAGTACTTCAGTGAATTCTTGCAGGTCCTAGAGAAAACCATGGAGCAGTGCACAGTGAGAGGCGAGTCCTAGGGCATGCCACTGAAACCTTCCCGTAGGGTGGGATTTGCCTTGTATTTTTCATTTCACTTTGACTAGAGGTGTTCACTCATTTGCTCAAAAGATAAAATCCAAGAACACCTTTGGGGGAGGTATGGAAAAGAACTGGTAATAACAATTCCAGGAATATTTATTTCTCTCAAGTCACAGCAAGACAATTCACAGTATTCTTCAGTTGCACCTGGGTGAAAAAGAATGAATCTGCTGGAGCTTTGCCCTGTAATGGATAAGTCGTCTCCCCCAACATGCACAGGAACACATGTACACACGCGCACACACACACACACACACACACACACACGGTGAAACAACACCTCAGTGTACTGCTGGGAACCAGAGAACCAGAGTCCCAGGGGATACTGGCCTTCCACAGCCGTGGACCTTCTGAAGTGTGGGAAGGGTTCTCATGTGTCACTGTGGAGAGCCCCACACTGCTTCTTTTTTTTTTTTTTAAAGATTTTATTTATTTATTTTGACAGACAGAGATCACAAGTAGGCAGAGAGGCAGAGAGAGAGAGAGAGAGAGAGAGGGGAGGAAGCAGGCTCCCTGCTGAGCAGAGAGCCCGATGCGGGGCTCGATCCCAGGACCCTGGAATCATGACCTGAGCCGAAGGCAGAGGCTTTAACCCACTGAGCCACCCAGGCGCCCCCACCCCCACCCCCACCCCACACTGCTTCTTAAAGGGTCCTGGATGGCGGGGCGGGGACTTGAGGTTCCGTCCGCATTGACAGCCTCCTCCAATCCCTGCTTCCTTAGAGATTCATGCTGGTGCTTGGATAATGTTAGTTTTTTTGTTTGTTTGTTTGTTTGTTTGTTTGTTTTAAAGCTGAAAGATAAAGTTCAAGGTGAACAATGGGCTCCTGATACAAACATACTCAAGCTTAATCAAGCCAGCACTATGGAGAACAGTTTAGAGTGGGTGAAAAATTGATACAAGAAAGATTATTTAATTCTGTCCTGTAGGCCTCTTCGAACAAGAACAGCTTTTGTCATAAGTACCCCAGGAAATTTATCTACTTTATGCCTGGTGGGGATTAAAAAACAGATTATGAGTCTTGTCAGAATTAAAAAAAAATATTAATGGACCATACAGAAACTATTATCAAAATAAAATATAAATTAAAATCAAGTCCTTGTTCCTTATTTTAGAGACTTTGTCCCCATCAGTTAATTCAGCACAAGATACTTAACCCATGTTTCCCAGCAGAATTTAAAAGTTTTTTCTAGAGTTTATCTCTTGAAATATGAATGCACGTTCCAATTAGTTACCTTTGAGTACTGAGCACCATCACCATCTCCTTAATCTCACCAGGTCTGTAAAATTGGCCAGTTTTTCTCTTCTGCCCCATTTCTGTCATGAAAATTCCTTCCAAGAAATTAAATGTATCCAGAGAAAAGTAACACAGATGAGGAATGGTGTTATGAAGGAGAGGTTAATGGAAGAAGGTCAGAAAAGTTTTTATGTGAGAGAAATTTAAACAGGAGATTAATTGACAGAAAAAGTGAGTTGAGGGATTCTCAAATACCACAAAGGAAGGTGAAGGCTGAAGAGACGTTCTTGTTATTCCCTCTATTGTTAGAGAATAGACACTTCATAAAGTAACAATGCCAGACATTTTAAACTGCTTCTTGAAAATTGTTTTTAAGAAAGATATTCCATTTAACTAGTGAGATAAGATCCATTGGGGGTTATTGTTATGGAAGCCAAGTCAATTTAGAACATAAAATAAAATTTAAAAGGACAATTCCACCAGTAAAATGGGGGTTGTCAGGTAACCAGCATTGGTTTCTGAAGTGCCATAATCTGAAAGCAGAAACAAGACAAATAATGGATCCTGAGTTCTGAAGTTTGGGAATTGATATCTACTCAATCCGTAATTTTCTGTACTCTTTGGCTTAGATGGGTAGGGGATGAAGGGTCTTGGGTGGAAAATTCAAGAAAAATCAGCAGCGAAGTGCTTCATTAGGTATGGATGGTTGGGAAGGCATGTGCAAGAGGTGAGGTAACCTGACAGGAAATTGGAGAGAAGGTGAGTACAAACATAGCCTCCCCTTCAACCCTCTATGACATGAGACAGTAGAGCAAAGGTTACAACAAACTAAGAGGGAGTGCTGAACGCTCACTGATTTAGAGGGTCTCTTGTCATTCTGACAGAACCACTACTCACAGAAAAATCTCAAGGAGTAATTTTTGAGTGGATTGGAACATACAAATTTACTGCTTCAAAATAATCAAAAGTAATAATCAACTTCAATGAAAAAATAAACTGCCATGATAACAATGAAAAAGTACAGAGTAAGATCAATTAAAAAATAAACAATAAAATGAAAAGTGCAGAGTAAGAGAACTTTATTATGATGGAACTAATAAAATGGAAAAAACACAATTACTATGGGGAAAAAATCCCATATGGAGACTGCTTTGGGGGAAGCTAGTGTATTTCTGTGCTTGGTGATGGTGTCTATAAAAATAGCTTACTTACAGGCTTCAGCGATATGGAGACCACCACTCCAGCTTATATTTAACTCAAATATTTTCAAGGTCAGGTCACCTTAAAGCATCCCTTGAAGCTCTAAACAGTCCATAACTCTGTGACTTGTTGAACCACCCGAGCATCATTTGTAGACTATGGTGTACAGTCAGTCCAACCACTAAGAACGCTTTCAGCTGTAATCCAGGCTGCTTGGGTTTGAATCCCAACTCTTCTACTTTTGAATTTTGGCAAGTTAGCTAATCTGTCTGTGCCTCACATTCCTCATCTTTAAAAAGGGGACAATAATCGTGCCTATCTCATAGGTTTATGGTGAGGAGTAAATGGATTAATACGTATAATGTGCTTGGAACAGTACTTAACACAGAATAAAAAGTGAAATGTTTGCTATTTTTAAATAACAGGAACAAATGACTAGCACAGGATAAAGGAATTTATCTTTCTTTCATTAACAAAAATGTCAAGATATAGGTGGTTTCTGCGTTGGTTTAGCTTATCGGTGGTGTCATGAAAGCCTCAGTCTCTATTGTGTCACTTCACTATCTTCATTATGTTGGCTTTTTGTCCTTCAGTTTATGCCTCATGGTCTCACAATGGCTTCCATAGCTCTAGACATCATCTCACATATGGACTGTGTCTAAAAATCAGAAAGAGGGGCACCTGGGTGGGTCAGTGGGTTAAGCCTCTGCCTTTGGCTCAGGTCATGATCTTAGGGTCCTGGGATCAAGCCCCGCATCGGGATCTCTGCTCAGCAGGGAGCCTGCTTCCCTCTCTCTCTCTGTCTGCTGCTCTGCCTACTTGTGATCTCTCTCTCTCTCTCTGTCAAGTAAATAGATAAAATCTTTTTAAAAAATCAGAAAGAATGCTAGCCAGGGAAGAAGAAAAATGACAAAGAAAAATGAGAGAAAGAAACACTGCCTCACACTATTTTCATGTTTTCTGAAGATGCAAAATGTTTTCCCAGTGCCCCTCACCGATTTTACCTTATCCAGTTGGCCAGAACTGAGTCACAGGAGACCCTGGAGTCAAGGGATCTGTGCCTTGGGTTTTGAAGAGTGGGAAGAAGTGGGAGAGTACCTGTTGGGCAGACATGGGTCCCCTGCAGTGAATCATTCCTCTGTTTTGTTCTAAATGCTTTGTTCCTGCTTCAGCTGTGGATGGACAATCTGTCTCCCAGAACATTCATGTGTATTAATAATTAAAGAGTTTTTATAATATGTGAGGTCATTTTGGAAATGGTCCATGCCACTGCCAACTTTTTCCCATTTCACTTCACGCATGGTACCTACAAGCAAGGTCCACTTCTTTGTAAGACTGACTTCAAAAACTTTATCTTCTTCTAAAAAACTGCTCAAACCTCAACTGGGTCACATAAGAATACCTAGAGTCCTCAGCCAGTCAACACTGGTTGAGTCCTTATTTTCTGCCGGGCCCTGTGGGGCTCTGAAAGCCTTCTGGTTTTACAAGTCTGGGCGAGAAAACAAGAGCCGCACATATTAAGCATATCCTGGAGTCCGGGAAAGGGAGGGATCAAGTGGTCTTGCACAATCAGAGGGGATCCCATGGAGGAATCAGAAAGGCCTCGGAGAATAGGATGGAATTTGGTGGCCAGAAGGATAATTTGAGAAAAGGCTCCTCGTTGGGATAGCGTGGATGTGGGAGGGACCGTTGTTCTTACCCATTTGAGAGTTTTTATATCTTTCTCCTTAGAACGTGGAAGAAGCTGCCCCAAATTGAGAACATGCCAAACATTAGCATTAATAACGCTGTGATCTCTCCAAATGTTAACTATATCCGCTGGAAAGTGCATGGAGACTGGGTTACTCAGGTAAAAGAAGGAAGGAAGGACGGGAGGGAGAGAGAGGGAGAGGGAGGGAAAAGGAAAAGAACAGAAAGAAATGTTTAAGTAAAAGTAAATTGGGATTTGCCAGACTGACGTCTCTCTCCAGGTATAGCAACCAAACAATCAAATAAATATATATATCCTTTAAGAAGTGACCACTGTTTCTGAGGTAACTTAATTAACTTAGATGAAAACAAATAAAAAGAAATTTTGCATGAAATACCAGAAGAGTACAAAGAATGATAAACATCTGGTTTCTAGAAGTTAGTGCAATTATTCAGTTTGAACTTCCAGGCATGCTTGTTTTTGCGGCCACTGTTTGGGTCTGAAGGCAGTAGATGTGTTTTCCTTCCTCTTTTGGGGGGTGGTGGGGTGGGGAGCCAACTCAAATGACCTAAGTATTTAGGACCAATAACATGACTTTGGACATAACAGCCTTTTCCTTGAGATTTCTACTGGCTCTGAGAAGCTAAATGAGTGTTTCTTAAACACATAAACAAGCAAGACATTGTTCTTAATGTTAAGGCAGCCTAGAAACCAAATACAGAGTGGACACGCTGTCCAGAGGATTAGAAAGAGAAGAGGAGTTTTTCAGTGTTAATAGAGCACTAGCTAGGGGAGGAGAGACTCCTGCCAACATCTTTTGTCTATTCCTAAACACATCAGGCTAATCGCAAGAAAGAAAATTGCAATAGCGGGTAAAAGGAAAACTAGGAAAACGACCAAATTTATTTGCTAAGTGAAAAGGAAAATTCAAGGGGAAGAAAATTTGGGCCAAGAAAATAGCATTTGCTTGAAAGATTAACACCAAGAAAGTTTCAGACACAAAGAGAAGAAAATAAAATACTGGGGTAGAAAGGAAATGTGAATTAATTAAGAATACAAAAAGGAAACAATCCAACTAAACAACACATGTAGAATTGCCATATGTAATCCCTATATGTTTCTCGAAGGTGATTGGCCCAAAATCCTTTTCTTCTTCAGCTTTTTTGAGCTATCAACATATCATAAATTTATTCACTTTAAGCATACAATTAACGACTGTTGATAAATTTACTGAGTTAGGCAATTATCACCATAATGCAGTTTCAGAACATTTCCATCACCCCAATAAGACCTCTGTTAACCATGTAGAGTTAATCCCCATTCCTACCTCCAGTTCCAGGCAAGCATTAATCTACTTCCTGTCTCTATTGATTTGCCTTTACTGGCCATGTCATGTACATAAAATCATACACTATGTGGCCTTTTGTGCCTGGCTTCTTCTACTTTGCAAAATGGAGCCATGCTTAGCGTGTGGACATTTTGCCCTACTGAGCTGCCAGCCCCCATTGCCTTGGAAGGTAGGAGGAACAATGCCAAAATCCAGAGTCAGTGCCATCCAAAAGATGACCACACATGGAGGGGTGGGGTAGGGTGGGGGAAGACAAAGCGGGGCCTTGGCATTGGCTACATAGAATGGGAGCCAACAGAGGGGGGCCATACCATGGGAAAATTCTCCCACCACCCCACAAGGTGTGTTCATGATCTCCCCACTCAGAGGCCGGCCACCTGAGAGCCTCTTGAGGAGGCTGTTCCAACAGAGAAAAGACAGAGATAGTTTTGAGCTCTGTGGGTTGCTCGGGACACTGAATCTTATTGTGCTTAGTTAGATGCCAAGCTCCAGAAACCCTCTCTTCACCTCCCAGACTTACCCTTTGTCTTCCTGTGTCTCTGTTCTTCTGGTTTCTGCCCGTCGTGGAGGTTAGAACCAAGGTTTATCTTCCGTATGTGCCCCCTCTGAGCCTAGCATAGTGCCTGGAAGGTCTAAAAGAGAAAACAGTCATCCCTTGTAGCTAAAATGTTGCTCTTCCAACACTACTATGGCTTTACCCATCTCACATGTTTATAGTCTTAAAAAGGACTTCCTCCAGAGGGAGGTGTCCTAAAAGCAGGGAAATGTTGTAAATCCCACTGACTCCAGTTCCCTGAACTAGAGACCAGCCCTGACACCTGCCAGAAGGCTCTGGTTCCCTAATCCCGGCATAGCTCCTTCAAGAGCCCGGCTCTCCATTTTGTTTTTGTTTTTATTTTTAAGATTTTATTTATTTGAGAGAGAGAGAGAGAGAGCTGAGCAGGGAGCCTAATGCGGGGCTCGATCCCAGGACCCCGGGATCATGATCTGAGCCAAAGACAGATGCTAAACTGACGGAGACACCCACGCACCCCATGGCTCTCGATTTTCAAAGACAGGGGAAGAGAGCATTTTACCCTGCCCAGTATGATCCTCAGCATAGCATCCAATTTAAACATGATTTATGGTGAAGGATAAGCTGTTTTCCCCGTGAACCCCATGCAGCGATGCAGGCAGCATTCCGATTTTCTCAGAAATATCTAAAATACGTAGTAGAATCTTCAGCACAGTCTGCCAGACAGGATACCAAGGAATTGTTGTTCTGGTGTTAGCCTGGAGCAAGCGTCAAGGAGAGAGAACACCCACGCGTTCACACTCTGCCAGGCCACCTACACACGTCTGCCCACTCCCAAAAGTGGGTTTTTTAAAATGTTCCTATCCTATGAGCAAGTGGTTCCTCTCTCCTTCTTAAAACGGTTGTCAGGAGAATGCTTTCAGTATTGTCACAAACGCTTTCTTGACATGGTGTGTGATCTTCATATTAATTAGCATTTTCTCTCTCTTTTTTTTTTTTTTTTGGTCATTTCTAGCTGAGCTACTATGATTCTATCAAAGCCGTCATTTCAAGCTCCAACCATGAGCCCACCGCTCTAGTAATAGGTACTGCTCACACTCCCCTTACGTTTGTAATGTTCTCTATGTGCCAGATCCTTGGATGTCTCCCACCTTTATAATTTCTGCATTGCAACAGGCATCCCACACTCTGCAGCTCAAAATGTGACATCCTCCACTGTTCTGTTTGCTTTATAAGCCTCACACTTCGCTCCTGGAGAAGCAGAGTGTGGGAGGGCACTCCTATCACAGGGCTTCACACATACAGAGAGCTCAATCAATATTTGTTGATTTGAAATAAGAGCAAAACCCACTTTGAGCACCCTTAATGTGTCAGAAGATATTAAATATACAGTAATATCAACACAGGACCGTGGTCTTGGGGGATTTGCGTGAAGTAGGATTGGGAATGCCTGCAATTCAAAGGCAAACTGGAAATAACAGTTTTCAGTGATGGCAATAGGAAGACCCAGAATCTGAAGACCTTTGCATTGTCTGGAAGCCAGACTTTGACCAAGTGCATTCAGAGAAAGGCCAAGGGAGAACCCAGATCCCAATCCATCCCTAACTTTTACATCCCCAAATGCGCCACTAGTCTGGACATGGGCTAGGCCAGGCTGATCTTAGGTCCATGAAGTTGGGAATATGGCAGAACAACTCTTTGCTATTCACATGGGAATCATTTTGTCTGGACCAGATGGAGGAGAGATGTTCTGGTACAGAGTGAAGAACTGTCTAGATCTGAACCAAGAATCCAATCCCTCTATAATGGATCATTCCCAGGATAACAGCTCATGGTCAAAAGTTGTTGCAATCTCTGGCCCTGAACACTAAGTATCAGACACTGTACAAGCTCCTTCTATGTATTATTTTATTTAATCTCCATTAACAACCTTATGGTTTAGGTCCCACTGTTAGTCCCATCTTACAGTTGAGTAAAGTGAAACACAGAGTCATTCATTAACTTGTCCTGGGGTATTGTTCAGGACTTTTTTTTTTTTTTCAGTATTGAAAAAAATGTAATTCAAATGTGTAAGCAAAAGGAGAATTTTTTTGGCTGGCTCATATAATATGAGAAGGGCAGAAGTGCAACCCAGAGTTGGAAAGTCCTGGAAGCAGGGACTCAGAGGGTACTCTGACTCTGTCTCTCTCTCTCCTCTGCACAGCAGTTCCATCAAAGGGTGAAGAGCCCATCTCTTACGTCACTGACACTAACAGAGACTGGCTGCCACTCTTAGTCCCCAGTCCCGCTGCCCCTTGGAAGGTTCCCACTGGACCAGTTAGGCCCATCTTTGGGACAATTGTGAGTCAAGTGACCCAGGAAAGGCAGGGAAAATAAGAACCTGGCAGTGCCCATTCAGCCACATGACGTATGAAGAGGTACTTTCCAGAAGTGGGGATGGGAAGAGGGGGTTTACTAGTGACAAAAAAGTGAGGAGTGAAGACTGCACTGAGTCACACATTCAGAAATGAAGACCAAGGACAGGAATCCAGGTCCTGTGTCTTCAAGGCCTGTGCTTGTCATCCTTGGACCTACAATAATGGCATTCCCTGGGCATGTGCTAGAATTGAGTCCCAGGTTCCTCTTGGAACAATGAAATCAGTCTGCACTTGAAAAAGAACTAAGGGTGACTTGTGCACATGTCCAGTCTGAGAGACATCCTTTAATCACAATAACATAAATTTTTCTATCATTTTTATATTATTTTAATATTTTTCGAATTTTTTTCTGCTAATTTGCCCTTTGAAGATCTTCTCAATTCCTCACATTTCCTTTATTAAACTTCATACTTATCTTGTGAAGCCCTTGAGAGTATGTTGGAAAGACCCAAACAAATATTCAGCATCACGATCGCCATACTTAATTTCCAAGCTGATACTGATAGTGGTTCCTTTCATGTGTTTAGCACTTACTAATTTATAAAGAACTTTCACATTCATTAGTGGTTCTCAGTCTGGGCTGCCTTATTGGATCGTCTGGGGACTTTATAAAAGCTGGTTGCCTGGTTCTTATCCTCAGATATTCTGACTTAATTGGTCTGGGATAAAACCTAGGTATCAGGACCTTTAAAAGCTGCCCTTCCCCCCACCAGTGATTCTAAAGATGTAATCCACTATTCGAGGAGGTATGGCCTAGGCATCTGTATTCTTTGGACACTTCACAGTGACATTAATTTGTGGTCAAGGGCAAGAACCACCCAAATGCATTATATTTCTTATATGATATTCATGATAGCCAGGTGAGGTATGAATTGTGTGTACACACTCCATTTTACCAGTGAGGACAAAAAAGCCAACATTTTTTTGACCCATTTAAGTGACCCATTAGGTCACTTAGCCAGAAGAGGTGGAATTGGGACTCAAGTCCAGTTTTTCTGACTCCAAGGCCGGTTGACCACCTGCCATCCCCTAGAGTTAGGCTGGGAAAGTCTATCCCTCCGCTCCTGGGACTTGTTTTAGGACAGCCTGGTTTCAAAAGGAAAATTCTGACCCTGGAGCAGAATGAATCTCTGCAGAGAAAAGAAATGTTATTGTCCACCATGGCATAGAGAGAAAGTTGTGGCCGATTAAAGCCACCTTTGATCATCTTAGTGCTCCCTGGATGGGATCCTCGCATCCCTGGGCTCAGCAGCAGGCTGAGAAAGGAACTTGTGAAGGGCTCAGACACAGATACTCATGACTGCTGCCCAGCCAGGCTTGCTGCAGAGAGAAGGGGAAGGCTAGGAGGCAGGAGGTGTGTGTTCTTCACTGAGAGGATAGGCATGACTTATGGTATTTCATTTCATTTGCAGGTATTTCTGTTGCTGAGATGATCTTTACCTTTTTCTCTCAGCCTTTCTAACTGGCCCTTACCTCCTCTCTTCCTTCTTGCGGCTTCACCCCTGAATTTTCAGGACCTGCTTAGAACTCTCCAAGCAGTGCATTTGTAATGAATAAAATAGTTAACACTTTTTTTAAATGACTCAAAAGTCAACCACCCACATAATGACGACAGCCGTTTCTTTCGTGATGCCTTTCAGCCTAGCTGTGCCTGAGCATTTCTGAGATTTGGAAAGGCTGAAATCCTAGGAGTTTCTTTTTCTTTTTCTTTATTCCTCCTTTCCTTTAGAATCTTGTCCTAATTTCACTGAACATCATGGAAAAATCAGTCATGAGTCATGCCTGCGATCTCAGCCTCCTATCAAATACCACGTTGCTTCTCCAAGTCCCCTTCTACTTCTGATTCATAGACTTCGAGCGCACGTTGTCTTTCAAGGAAATCTTCCTTTATACATTTCTGATTCACTGACATTTAACTCTCCAAAGCATTAGAAAGAGATGTTCAGTGGCTAAGAAATTTCTTGGGAATTTTCATCAGATGTTCTTGGAACTGGGAAATTGTGGTTTTCTGGAATGATCATGGATATGAATGCTAAGTAATTAAAATTCAGCCTTCAGAAACTGAAGCAGCTAAAATTCAGTGTTTGTGCAGAACAAGAAACAACAAATCCAGAATGAGGATCTCTGAGTTCTAGCCCCGGCTCGGCAACTAACAGAGCTGTGGCCTCAGGCCTCCATTTCCTTCTTAGTTCAATAAAAATGCTGGATACGAGCTCTAAGGAGCCACCCTGCTCACACTCCTTGATCCCTAATTTTGCCATGAGTCTCCTGTCCATCCCTTCTTCCTTCTCACGTTCCAGAAAGCAAGGACCACTAAGCGGCTCATACTCTGAACTGAGATTAATTGTCTCTAGATATCTAGACAAGTCTGTGATAGGAAGAGTCAGCGCCTTCCCCAACCCAATTACTACCCTTGTAGTTTCTCGGATGTGTACCAAGATGAAAATACTGGGGCTCAGAGAGCCTTTGCAGCCAGACCCCTGGAAAAAACTGCCTGCAGTTGCACTTTCCAAGCCCTCACCTTCCAATCTGTCTAAGACCCACTGAAAGCTGGCCTGTGTTCCTGCATGTCTCCATGACTTGCTGCTGGAGTCCCAGAGTTTTGTCCTTGCTCTACTTCTCTTCCATTTTCATCAACCCCTCAGTGATACCCCTCCAGCACCGTTGCTGTCCTTCCCCAAATTCATGTCTTCTAGCCTAACTCCACCCCCAAACTTCAGTCTGGCATTTCCAACTGCCATGGGTTTCTCTCTACAGGATCTCTCCATTTGGATGTCTCATAGACATCAAAATTAAATCCAAACTCAGATCCACATCTTCTCCCTCACACCACCTTCCCCAACTCAGTTAGTTCTAGGTCCATCCTTCCAGTAGCTCTGGCCAATACCTACTAGTCACCTTCAACGCTCTCCTCCACAGTCCACATCCAATCCGTTGACTCTGTCTTCATACTGAACCCAGGATCTGGCCATTTTCCCCAGCCTCGCCCCCATTACCATCTAGTGGAATTCACTCTCTTCTCTCCCCTGGATTACCACAGGAGACTTATGATTCTCCCTGCTTCTATCCCTCGCCTATGGGCTCTTTTCTACACAGCAGCCAGAGAGCCTGGAAAATTCGATGTCATTAGATCCAAATCCTCCATTGGACCCCCATCTCCTGCACAGTAAAAGCCAAAGTCCTCCAGGGCCCTGTGTGTCAACCCAGCCCTTACATCTCTGGCCTGGTTTCCTACGTCTCTCCCTCACTGTACTCCATCCCACTCACACCAGTCTCCTGGAATATATTTAAGATCTTTTCACCAGATCCTCCCTCTGCCTGGGAGGTTTTCCCTGCAAATGTCTACATCTTTCACTCCCTCGTCTCCTTGAAGTCTTCCCTCAGGTGTTGCTTCTCGCTGAAGCCCTCCTTGCCCACTTCATTATACATATCCTGGAAGAGCCCAGTCCCTGCTCCTGGTGTTCCTAATCTTCCTTACTTTGTCCTACCCTTCTCTAAATCCATAAATCCAATCACTTTCTAATAGACTATATAATTTATCTCTTATTTATTATTTATGGTCTGTCCTCTCCCATCAGAAGGTGAGCCCCACAAAGATAGAGTTTTCTGTTTTATTTACTGTTGTGTCTCAAGTGCTAGGAAGAGTGCTGGTACATAACAGGTGCTCATTAAATATTTATTGAATGGACTTACCTGTGGTCGAAATTCAAACCACATACCTTTCTCTCCCCAAGTGGTCTTCTGAAGCATTGCCTTCCAGGAAATGTAGAATTCTGTGGTGACAAGTATTTTCCTCCTGTGCTATCTATCCCCTTTCCATCTCCCCATCTACTGCCCCCCCAAGCATGTCCCCACAGTGTCCTACACTCACACCACTGCTTCCATCAGCTATGCATGTATTCACACACACACACACACACAAACACACACATACTCTCTCTCTCTCTCTCTCTCCTCCACAGGTTGCTATAGCACCAGTTCCCCATCCCTAAATGGGATTTACGAGAGGGCTCTGTAGAGTAAAAAGTGGTTTCAAGTGCATTTGTTTATTCAAGATGATCAAAGATAAGAATCTCTGACTTCATTCTGGTTACATGTGAACATCAAAGGGAGATACGTCTTGGCTAAGGCCATGGAGAAACCAAGGCTGGGTCTTGAATGTCTCCCCTCTGCAGACCTGGGCAGCACTCCATTTGTCACAGCAGAGTTGTGGGTTCCTGGCACACTGAGGAAACTGATGGAAAGGAGGAATAAGATAAAAGGAAGGATGGGTAGGAGATACTCCAAGATCTACCTCAAAAGAAGAAGAGTGAAAGTCTGAGCTTTGGGGAAACATGCCCACCTCGTTGCCAATCCTATGGGATTCCGGGAGCCCAGAACTGTGAATGTGGTTTCTGGGTCAGCTCTGGTGTTAGCAGCCACAGAATCCACCTTCCTGTAGGACTCCAGCACCTGAAGACTTATCTGCTAGCTAGTGTGCTGGGGATCAAAACCTGCCTTGAATCTGCTCTAGGTTTCCATGGTGATTGCTTTAAACTTTTCATCATCTTCCTTCAGACCTTGGGGGAGAGCTCTGCTCTCTGGTTTCCATGACAACCATTTAAACATGTATCTCTGTCTGGCTCTGTTGGAAGAGAACTGCTAGAGATCATGCAAATGAACTGGCTGCTCTCCTTTTACTTAAAAAAATAAAAATAAAGTGACACACCTGCTTAGAAGTTTCAGATCTTTGCTCATAACAAGAAGGGTGAAAGCATCAAACTGGTGTTTGAGGAGGGTTTGCTGCATTGCTTTGATACTGCAAGTGCTCACCCAGATACACAGGTTCACTCTGCCATCTTAAGTAATTATCTGCACTCAGCACTTATCCTCCCCTCCCCTCTGTCTAGCAGATGAAAGAGCTCTGAGTTCAAGGTTGTTTACCTTCCTGCTGCATACCAAAGGAGAAAGGGAAAGACAGGGCCAGTGGGACTAGCTAGCTGTCCTACCACTGCTGAGAGAAACTGTGGACAGCAGGGTGTCTCCTCAACTCACCGTCAATAAACTGTCCTAGCACTTAGACTGTAGCCTCAAATAAGGTGGAAATCACATACCCCAGTTATCTGGAAATGGCATTCATGGTCTGGAGAAGAGCCAGGTGACTCGGAGGAAAAAAGTTTCAGAAGAAGTGGAAAGATCATGGCCCCCTTTCCCTTCCCAAACACCTTCCTGTCCTCCCCCGCAACAACAAGCTCCCAAACTAGAGGTCTCCAGAGGCAGCGGTGGGCCAGGCAGCCACAGACAGATTAAAAACAGGATTCTGTTTTGAAACTGTGCATCAAACCTTAAAATTCTGGAAGTTTCCGATGAAAATAGACACTTCCCATTTCTCCTGAAACTCAGAAGATCTGCATCAGAGTCCTACTTCAGGAGAGTCTGCTGGACTGAAGAAAAACAACCCTCTGAGATGAAGCAGGCACTGGCTTTGGTCCAGCTTTCCCGAATAGCAAACCCTTCTCCTTGTTCCTGGAAAACAATTGAACTGGTAACTTGTGATAACACACACGTCATCCAGACAACACCAATCATCCCTCAAGTAATCACTGATATCACAGACCATAAAAGAGAATTCTTATTTGGGGATGGGGACAAGGCAAGGATAGAAGATGAAATAGTCTCCCATCTTTTTCATCTGATGCCCTTCAGTCATCTTGGACACAGCTAAGGTCAGGGGTCAGGGTAAGTTAGATGGGGATTTCTTTCATGATCATCTGGTGAGACTATGTCTCACACCAACAGGAAGGCCTTTGATTGCTTCAGTATGCTACTACTATTCTGATTTTACTGTTCAGTAGGTTCATAAGCCAAAAAGTCATTTGGCTAAAAATATATGTCAAAATAATTGTAGCAGAAAGTTGGCTGGTTCGTGGATGAAACTGATAGGTCAACTCAATGAACCCTCATTTAGGATTTGAGATGTGGTTTTAATGACAAGTTTGTTAAACCCCGTAGTCTAAACTTTCTTACCTGTCCCATGGAAGACAGGTGCTTGCCTCACTGAGTTTCTGGGAGGTTCAAACAAAATTGTGTACAGAGAGACCCTGGCACAGTGCGTGGTACTCGGTACAGATTTATTAGAAGACAGTTTCCTCAGAATGAGTTGGCCCTCTTCACATTTCCTCCTTCCCCCAGATGACCCTTCTTGGCTCTATCTAGAGAAGGAGGAGAAATGAATCTTGCTGTTCTTACCGACATCATTTTCATCCTTCGGACTATCCATGGTGTAACACCAGGGGGTGAAAGAGAAAGAAAAAAGTAGTTCTCAATGAAAGCAAAACCAGGACCTTTAAAAATCAGCAACTTGTCAGGAAATTGATCATATTAAGAGGCTGTGTTTTGTTTTTCTGTGAATATTTTTAGGGTGCACTATGGGAACAACAAATGTCAAGCAAAAGATGAAAGAGACAAGGGGCGTTAGAAAAGATGTCCAGGCAAGAAGAAAACAAGCATTCCTTGGTTTGCCCCAAAGGCGGGCAGAATGTGATCAAACTGGTTTTCACATCTACAAAGGAGTCAAGGCATTTTCATTCTGTGAGAGAAAGAACTTGCTGCTGACGGGGATGGATCGAATCATTCGAGTCTGGAATCCTTATCTGCCTGGGTAAGTTTTCTTTCTCTCTCCAACCATGAGCGCCATTGATCTAATAAAATACATGAGAGCAACACAAGGGATCACTAATGCCCTTTTAGGATAATTTAGGAAGCCCTTTCCAAAACTGGTCTCCCATACACTCAGCCCGAGAAACTTCTGTTGATACCCACTAAAGACTCATTCTTCGGGGTTAATAAGTAACTCATTAGCCCCACTTACCAATGAAGAAACTGAAACTTAGAGGAGTTAAATAACTTTTTAGACATAATGCCAGAACTGGGGTACAAACACATTTTGGCTGATTCTAAAATCTTATGCCCTTTCCATTGGTAAGTGTTGAAGATGGAAGGAGAGTGGAAAATGGGGAATAGACTTTCTGTGTACTGATAGTGGGGATTTGGGGACATGAACAAGTCACCTAGGGTGCACCATGCTTCCTCGCTGAGCCTCTGTACCAGGCATCAGTGGAGGACCTGCAAGGTGACCCATGCCCCTCAGCAGGGACAGGCAGGGGTGGAGGCAACACCATGGAGGGTGGAGGGCACGTGGGATCTGGTGCTGCTCCTGTCACCTTCTAATACAGTGACCCAGCACAAGAGATGTAGCCAATGTCCTCCTCATTACTGATGATCACAGGAATCCCCACCCTTCTGGTAGAAATAAAGGTCACAGATGAGGTCATCCACATATAGGGCTCCGCACAATGTCTAAACAGAAAGAAAGAAAAATGATTTTCTACCTACTTCTATTACCTTAGACTCCCATTTGTCTGGTGATGGAGAACAATTTTCTTACCTTCCAATAATGTGGTTATAAAATGACATTGTGGTCTCCCTTTCAACCTCAGACCTGCCTCTCTTCTCCCCACCTCCCCACCTTCTCCCTACACACCCAGCCCTGCGACCCTGAGGGCATTGCGATCCCTCAGAGCTCCTTAAAGTAAACTTACATTAAAAAGACAGTCCCCCAAGACCTGAATACTGTTAACTCTGGCCTGCATAAAGCAACCATGTGCCATAGAATCTATTCCCACACCATCCTGTGCTCTTCCTCGTTTATTCCTTTTATAGTGATATTGTCAGCAGTTGGAGAAACAAAGCCCAGAGCTTCATCTCACACTGAGTTGTGTTGCTATAACTGGGTATTATTTGCTTCAGTCCTTTTATCACACAAGATATATACTTGTGTGATTTCAGAAGGAGACATAACCCTCCTCCAGGCTGAATAGAACTGCCAGATCCGGGCCAAGTTTAGTCTTGCATTTTTATTTAGAAATAGCACTTAGAACTGCTTGGTGTTCATCTGTTCTTTTTCCATTCTAGAAAACCAACAGGTATGCTGAAAAGCCACACGGCTCCAGTGATCTACATCCATGTATCTGCTGAGGATAACAAAATATTCTCCATGTCCACCGACAACACTATTAAGGTCTTTGCCCTTTCACATTTTGGATGCATTGTCCAACAGTTTCAGATAGAGATTGTGTTTGTTTGGTGTTTTCTTTCCCCATCTTTGCAGCTCTAGAGGTCTCTGCATTAGCAGATACTCAAATGGTGGTTACATCCGTGGGTTTGCTTTGGAGAAGGAAGATATGTGGGCAATTGAAGGGTAGTGTCTTAGAGAATTTTCTGTACTGGGTGTTTTGCTGGGATGAGTAAACCTTGAAACATCTCAGTCCCTGTTTGCATGCTGTCCTGATTCCTCTGGAGAAAGTGTGTTGGAGGATGAAGAGGGGGAATAAGGGATGGAATGGGGACATGGGGGAGGCAACTGGCCCTCGCTACTAGTGCTTATCTTATTTTGCAATACGCATAGGGCAAGTGGGCCCTTTCTGAAATGTTTTCTGTAAGGCTTGGAATTCAAGCACTTCTGGCCCTGGTAGAGGTTGTGGTAACATCACCTTCATTTTGTTTGCCTTCACACCTCTTTCTATATGTAGGGTTCTACCCACCTCTAAAATTCAGCTGTCCTGTGACCTTTGTAATGCACTATTTTTACACCAAAAAAAAAAAGAAAGAAAAGAAAAGGAATTTTGTTGATTTGCTTTATCCATCATTTCATAAGCTTTTCCAATGAATATGAAAAATTTTCATGATTTCATCCATACTTCTTTCTGTAATATCATGGGGCCAGAGGGTAGGAGTTTAGAACGGTCTGAATCAAAGGAATGCTGAAGCCTCAAACAGGTCAGTGGCATTGCTTTGCATGGGTACATAAATGAGCTTATCAATTACACACGTAATAAATGATTTATAGATGCTATGGGCTGAATCACATCCCTTCAACATTCATATGTTGAAGTCTTAATCACCAGTACCTTCGAAGTGACTGTATCTAGAGACAGGGCCTATAAAGAATTAATTAATGTTAAATGAGGTCATATTGGTGGGCCCTAATCCAATATGATTGGTGTCTTTATAGTAGAAGTCAGCACACTGAGACGGAGGGACAATCATCTCCAAACATGTGAATACATGGCAGCAGGGGGTCATGTGCAAGCCAAAGAGAAAGGCCTCAGAAGAAAGCAGACCTGCTTATATCTCAATCAAGGACTTCAGTCCCTTACTTCACCCCATACACAAATGTTAACTAAAAGGCTATAGACCTAAATGTAGAAAGAGCTACAATTTCAAAACTCTTTGGAGAAGACATAGGAATAAATCTTCATAACCCTGGACTAGGGAATGATTTCTTAGATGTGACATCAAAAACACAAGAGACAAAAGAAGAAAACAAATGAGTTGGATATTGTCAAAAATCAAAACCTTGTGCCTCAGAAAACACCATTAAGAAAGTGGTCAGACCACCTACAGAATGGGAGAAAATGTTGCCGATCACACATCTGACAAGGGATTTGCCTCTAGAATACAAAAAAAAAAAAAAAAAAAAAAAAAAAATCTGTATGCTCAACAGTAAATGCACGAATATCCCGGGCATAGGACTTAAATGGAAATTTCCTCAAAGAAAATATTCAAATGGCCAATAAACACAGGACAAGATCCTCCACATCATTAGTCATTATGTAGATGCAAAACACACCCGCCATGAGTTACTACTTCACACCCATTGGGATGGCTAAAATCAGAAGTTAGATGATAACAAGCATTGCCAAGGATGTTGAAAAATTAAAGCTCTCCATACCTTGCTAGTGGGAATTAAAATGGTGCCGCCACTTTGGGAAATATTTTGGCGGTTAAATGCTAACCATGGAGTTACCATATGACCCACCAATTCTACTTCTAGATTTAAACCCAAGAGAACTGGAAACTTATGTTCACATAAGATCTTACATATGAATATTCATAGCACATTATTCATAACAGCCAAAAAGTAGAAATAACCCAAGTGTCCATGAACAAACGAATGGATAAACAAACTGTGGCATATCCATACAATGAAATATTATGCAGCAACAAAAAGAAATGAAGCACTAATACGTGTCACAACATAGATGAACCTTGAAAAAGCTTATGTTATGTGAAAGCCAGTCACAAAAGACCATGTATTGGCTGATTCCATTTGTATGAAATGCCCAGAATAGGCAAATCCACAGAGGCAGAAACTAGTTTAGTCGTTGCTGGGGGGATGCAGTGAGGTGGGACAGGGAATGGCCACTAATAAGTGTGGGGGTTCTTTCTGAAATAATAAAAATGTTTTGAAGTTAGACAGTGGTGATGGTTGCCCAGCCCTGTGAATATGCTAAAACCCACTGAATTATACACTTTAAAAATGCAATTTTTGTGAGATGTGAATTATATCTCAACAAAACTATTATTTTGTAAAGGAGGGGGAGGGGAGAGATAGAGAAGTCAAGGGAGACGCCAAGGCTTTGGGCCAGAGCCCCCTGAGACATGGTGGGGCAGATGGTAGGGAAGAGGAGCATCAGACCAGGAGCTCAGTTGTGTATGTGTTGGATAGAGTCATCCTGAGTTGAGGGGAGACATCGGGGCTGGAGATATAAATTTGGAAGTCATTAGCATTTAGATGGAATTTTAAGCCATGGAGGGGATGAGATGGAAAAGAGAGCAAGAGTGAGCAAGGGGGAGAAAAGCCTCAAGGAGTGTATTCTCACTGTGTGTGGGGTCTGACATGGCTCCAGAAGAGTGAGCTCAGAGTCCATGTCCTGGCAACCAAGAGGACACTTTACACAAAATTAGGTGTTGAGATCATGGTCAGTGATGTAACTAGGACCTAAACTCGATTCAGTCCTCCAAGCAAATTTGATTAAAATAGGAAGACTCGGGGAGTTCAATATTTGATTTCTTTTGAAAATTGAATCTATCCTAAGGTATCCTCCAAAACCATAAAGTTGGAGACTTCATATTTTTAATGAGTTTTTTTTTTCCTTAAAACTTGGCACCACCAGATAATCATAATTCTGTATGTGAGGACACGTCTTCTATCCTATTTTCTTTTCCTAGTGCCTCTCCATTTTCTTCCAATCTAAAATCATGATTACAAGATTAGCATCTTGCCTGTGATGATTCAGGCATATTGAATCACTTCCCAAAATGTGTTTAAAATATATTGAAATCCTATCTTGGAAATATGGTGTGTAATTTATTTCAGAATACATTATTCCTATCAAATAAAAAGTAATCAACCAGGAACCAAACAGCTAAATTTCTAGCATGCCTGATCAGATAGTCTTCGTTCTTCAAATTGATTTTTCAGCTCAAATATTTCACTTTTCTATATCGTGGGGACACATGAAACGTTTTAGGAGTCTGTTAGTTTCTGGCATTACCCTAAAGGAGAGTAAAGTGACAGGTTTGGTTTTCTGTTTTCACTTGTTATTTTCTGTGAATTTAATACTGCACACTACAAAGAGGGCTGTTTTGTGTCAACAGGAATTAGCATAGAAAGAAAGTTATTTCCTGAAAGAAGATAGCATGTATATTAGTTAAGGTAAGGCTTGCCACTGTAACAAATAAACCCTGTATTTTCCATGGGTTGAGATAGTAGAAATTTATTTCTGTTTGCTGTCATACCCAAGGCTGGTACTCCCAGTAAGGAGCATTTTTTTCTCCCATTTAAAAACCATGCTGTCTTCATGCAAGGTCCCTAGGTTCTCAGAGTCTTCTTCATCCCAGGACAATGGGCATGATAGCAGATACGGCATATCTGCCTCTTAAAAATCCCAGCTATAAATGACCCATCACTTTCTCTCACACTCCACCACTGAATTCATAACTCTGGGTGAAGGGAAACCAGGAAATCCCTTAGTTTGGTGTCCACTCCCCAGCAACTCCTTTCCACTGTGGACAGAGAAGCCTGCATTTGGAGGTTGGTACACAGCATGCTTTGGAGAAATACAGACTTGAGTTATACTCTGAAACTACCAGGAACTAGATGACCTTGGGCAAACTATTCAACCCTTCTGAACTCAGTGACTTAATTCTCTTGGACATTGGTCACTCTACCGTAAAATGGAAGAAAGACCCGCCTTGTAGGTTAGTTGTGCTCATAGAAGATAATGGGTGAATTGTGCTCACAACAGAGTAGTTTTACTAGGTAAGACTCTTTTGAGCCAAAGAGACAAAAATCGAACTCAAGTAGTTTAAGCTAAAAAAGGCAGATTTATGGGTTATTGAAACCAGATCACCAGACAGATGACCTCATGGACAGCTGGGTTCAAGCATGGCACTCTTTTTCCCATGCTCTCTGCCTATACTTCCTTGGTGCACACTGATGTTGACTTCTAGTGCAGAAAGGCAATCTCCTTCTGAATGCCGGGACCATTGATTCCCAGTCTGAACTCACAGCCCAACTACAGATTCGCTATCAGCTCCAGCCAGAAAAATCTAAGGGAAGACACAGATTGACCAAGTTTGTGTCTCTTGCCTACTGCTTGCAATCAGAGAGGCAATTCTCCTAACAGAAGACAGGAGGGTGCTGGACAGGCCATACATAAGTCAGTGATGTCAATTTGTTGTAGCTACTTTGGGGATGTAATGCCAACTTGCCAACTCAACCTCAACAGCAGTAGGAAGAGTTCCTTCCTACCCTTCCCTTTCACAGACCTCACAGGGGTCCCTCTATAGCATCAACTAAGATCACTCTGCCAGGCTCCAGAACTACCTCATCCTCCCCCTCATCAAAACTTCCTCTCTTTCAGTAACATTACCTCATGAAGTAAGAAGAAATTACCAGATTAATGGATTCCCCTGGTGGTATAAGTGACTGATAAAAAAAACTATGTGTGTTACTTTTCTATCTAGGAAAATCAGCATTTTCAAACAATTCAATACTCCAGAAAGGAGTGGGAGATGCCCCTTGAACAAGTAGTCCTTGGGATCATGTTTCCATGGGATTATTTTACCCTGATTGCTACTGTCACCCCCATACTTGCCTCCCAGAGTGTATTGCTTCCCGCCTTTTACACCATGACCTAAAATCACAGATGAAAAAGGACGCTAGAACTTTCTACATGACTTTGCTACCTGCTGGGGAGAACTAACGAAAATCAACAGTGTAAATACAACAAATAAGAGTCTGGCTTACCGGGTAAAGGCTTCCGATTTCTTGCTAGCTGTTTCGCTTCCAGGAGTCACAAAGGAGGGGAAAGAAGCCCCAAGTACATCCCGCCCAGTTTAGTCCTCAAATTTTCCAGCGCACCTATGGAGGGAGAGAAGTCTGAAAAGGACTCCTACTTTAGCTGCTCACTGCGCCTTCTCCCTCTCTCTGTGTCTGTCTCCGAATTTCCCCTTTTTACAAAGACACCAGTCATATTGTCTGGGGGTCTGCTCTACTCCGGCTTGACCTCTTCTTAATTAGTTGCATTAGCAACAACCCTATTTCCAAAGAAGGACACATTCTGAGATACTGGGGGTTCTTCAACATACAGACTTGGTGGGGAGGGGAGAGACAGAATTCAGCCTGGAACAGAGTAAATGAAACAATGCATGGGAAGCATGTAACGCAATGCCTAGCTTACTGAACAACAGCTGCCTTCCGTGATGATTCCTTCTTCCTGGTTTTACACTTGGCCCATCTGCTCTTCCCCATGGATGAGGCCATCCCTTGAGCTCTCATCAGATTGTAGTACCTTAAAATAATACAAGAGCTGTGGCATGGCTTGCATAATAATCCCAATAAATGATTAACAATAACATTATCATTCTAATCATTTACCATTATACCATGGCCCAGTTGTGATGGTAAACACTATTTTTTAATTAATATTTTAAAATCCCCAAGATTTTAAATCCTGAAAGTAGGCATTATTATTAGTCTCCCTATTTTACAGAAGAAGAAACTGAAAGGAGGTATGGTAATATGGCCAAGGCCACAGAGCCATTAAGCGATAGGACTAGGATTCCAACCCAGGCAGTGGGGAGGGTGGTGGTGGGGTTTGGACCTCCATGTCCTTACCCAATAGCCCTGCTGAGGTTTGTTCCCAGAGCCCTCCACATATCCGCCTCAGGGCTGGTTTTGAGGAACTGTATTAAGAAATGGGTACATATCTAGGGGATAGAGAGGGAGTCTGTGTGCCCATCAGACCCACGATATCAAAACTCCACGATATCAAAACTCCAGGAGCGGAGAAGACACTGGCGGCTCCTGGTTGGGGGGTGGTGAAGCTTCAGCATGGCAGAGGGGCTCGGGAACAAGAGCCCCGCTCTCTGCTTCCTTTACAAATGCAGAGGGGAAAGGAAGCACTTTGAACATTTTCCTTTGGGTGAGGGGAGAGTGGGGCAGCCTTTAAACTTAGGTCGGTCCTAACCAGACCCCCGCCACAGGTGACAGCTTTGGAAAAGCACAGCAAAGCAGCCTGTTCAAGACCTCCGATTAACTTTTTTTCCTCATCTCCCCACTCCCCGTCACCCCAGATCTGGGATCTAGAGACGGACAGCTGCTTGTTTACCGCATCCTCCAAAGCCAGAGGTATTAAGGGGGACTTCGCAGCCTGCCTCTACCTCCCTGAATCCAGATCCCTGTGTGTGGCCACTGACACGGTCGCACTCCTACACCTGAGACTGAGGTATGAGGTTAGCCTCTTGGCCCCAGGCTGCTTGCAACCTTCTATGGAACCATCCATAGCTGAGATCTCTGGGGAAGCTCCTGAGCTCTATGGCCCCATGTCTTTATCTCACAGCATGTATTTGGTGAGCTTCCTTGAACATTTCCCATTGCTTGCTCCGGCACCACCTCCTTGGATTACCCAAAACTCTGGAATCTACCTCTTAAACCCTTATTGACCCACTGGCCCTACCTCTCTAGCAAATTGTCCAAGAAGCCCTGGGGGCTTTTAATTCAGTCCAAAAGCATCAGACCCACTTGCTGCAGCAGGGGCCCACATGTGAGACCCTGTCCCTACAGCAAGGTAGTCACTCAGGGACAGCACAAGCTCCAGTGATGGACAGGTCCTTATGGAGGGTCCCCTAGTGGGCTTTTCTTGCCTGGGGCCTCAGTCTCAGGGAGCTCAAATGCCTTCAAGACCCATCTCCCTGATTCCTCTACAAATGAGTCCATCTTGATTTCCTTGGCACAACTTTGCAAGCCACACTTCTTTTCCTCCTTGGCCAGGAAAGTGGGTGCCCGGTTGTCTTTTTCACACTCAGGGTAGTCATTGAGACGTTCATCTCCTTAGCATGAATGTCCACTTCAGTGCCCGTCCCCATCCTGCTAGACTGAGACTGCCAGGTCTTACTGAGGAGTTTCAATCCTACCTCCCGGGAACCCACAAGTCACCCAGGGCAACGCTGCTGCCAGATTTACAGATGAGCGAGCAGAGGCCTGGAGAAGGGAACAAATTGCTCAAGGTCGAGCAGGGACTCAGAAGCAGAGCTGGGACTAGAATGCCTCTCTCAGGATGCCCGGCCCGCTCTCTCCCCCTGCGTGGTGCTTCTCCCACTGGAAGGGCAGAAGTCTGCCTGAGACACTGAAGGCAAAGGAGAGCTCATTTGTCTGTCTGTTTGTTTAATTAGACTACAGGAGGTACATTGTCTAGTCTTCCTTCTCCAGAGCCTGCAGAGCTCCTAAAAGGCACCTGTGAGCAGTAGAGAGAAGGCTCTGCCTCCTGGGCCCAGTGGCCTTGGGTGAATCACACCCCTGTCCCTGGTCTTGGCAGGGCTGGCAGGACGCACCATCTGTGCTTTGAGAATTTTCAGGCTCTCTGCACACCACAACTAGGAGCATCATTACAGCCTCACAGTTCAAACCTGGCCCATGATTAGTCACCCCACTCCATTACCCCCACTTGTTGCCCTGACATAAATCCATCCCTCATTCCCCGCCTGCAGCTTTCCCTCTCACCGTTCGGCAAGATAACGGATTCCTGTAGTCTTTGTAAACTAAGGAGAGGAGGCAGAGAAGGATTAGGCTGAATATTGTGGTTTGCAGGGTTCACATCCCATCTATATGATAATGGCAACTGGATTTCCCGAGCCAAAAATGATGGCATACTGTCTCGACAGGTGGGTTTTAAGGGGAAAAAAATGTGTTTGGATGTCTGGGCGGCTCAGTTGGGTTAAGTGTCTGCCTTCAGCTCAGGTTGTGATCTCAGGGTCCTAGGATCGAGTCCCACATCGGTCTCCCTGCTCAGTGGGGAGTCTGCTTCTCCCTCTGCCTCTCCCTTCTGCCTGCTGCTCCCCCTTTTTGTGCTTTCTCTCTCTTTCTAATATATAAATAAATAATATCTTTAAAAAATTGTTAACATATGCCTAAGAGGAACCTGAAATATGTTTATTATGTCCAGTGGTTAAATCACAGATCAAGAATAACTTTACAGAAAAGTGATCAGATTTCGCAGCATCAAAACCCTACTGAGAAGTCCAGAACATAAGGCTGCTGCCTATGCCTGGACCGACGCTTCCTCATGTTCCCCTGAGGCCATGGGAATGGCCAGAGAGGATGGGGAGCCAGGGCAGAACAACCATCCTACCACAGGGTACCGTCAGACCTGCAAGGTCATGCCCTCGGCTCAGGATGCCAGAGCAACCCTCTGAAAGATGGGACTACAGTCAGTCCAATGGCCATTTGTTCAACCTGGCCTCTATGGGTAGAAAAACAGCCTGTTGGATTGATTTCCTTTTTTTTTTTTTTTAAGCAAAGTGACTGAAATTCCACCTTGCAGCGAGAACAGCCCTAATCTCTTAGCACCAGTCCTTAGGCAACAGATGACATCTGCCCGTCCCTGCTCTGTCACAGGGAACTTTGTGATGTTGATCAAGTCACCTGGTCCTTCTTAGCCTTCTGGAAATGTCCTCATCTGTGAAGTGGGGGGAGACTGGGCACCTTCCTCCCCACATTGGGGAAGTGGTGTAGGTAAGATCCAGAGGCTCTGGCTCCAGGCCTGGCACTTTCTGCCTGGGACAGCACCCCCACTCCCAGCCTCCTCCTTCCCCACAGGCCAGACTTCCCCTGGAGCAGTCCAGAGACCATTCATGGGAAAGTGCTCCTCTCCTTCTGCCAAAAGCTATTCTTCCTTGAAAAGGATTCCACCCTTTGGGAATCTTCTGGCGCTAATTTGGAGGCTTCAGGTCCACCGAATCCCTATTAGGGTCCCAGCCTTGGGGCTGAGCACTGGAAGGACCATCAAGAGAGAGGACAGAACAGTAGGTCTGGGAACCAACATTCATTTATTAAGTGTTCCCCCCACACCAGGCTTCTCCAGACATTGGACATCCTTTTCCTCACTTACTCCTCACAAAATTTCTATAAAGGGTTCCATTTTACAGATGAGGAAATGAGTGCAAAGCAATTGGATTGCATAACTCCTAGAGCTATCCCTTCTGTGCCCTGTCCTCACAGAGGGGACACACATGGCAAGGCCTGAGTGCACAGAGGCGCCCTTGGCCCCGGGTGCATGTGGGAGGCACGCTGCAGGGCCTCATCCCTGTTGTGATCGAGAAGCACTGCCCTCCAGGCTTGAAGACTCAGCATGGGATGGTACAGTTGGTGTTTGTTTGAGGGAAGATGTAAATTCTTAGGGAAGAAGGTCCACTGTGTAGTTGTGGGAAATCACACTTCTCTTGCCCTAAATAAGAGGCATGTGGTATCATTTTTCATGGTGAGCAGCTACTGCTCGCTGAATGCCAATTAGGTAGTATGGGGGTCTGTGGGAAGGATATTCCATAGGTTTTCTCAACAAATACTCAAAACAACCCTTTATAATAGATAACATTATCCCCATTTAAGAGATTAAAAAGGTTAGAGTTTTCAGCATTTAAACAACTTGTCCAGGGTCACAGACCTATTTTTATCCTCTTCACCTTTTTTCTTTAAAGATTTTAATTAATTTATTTATTTAAGAGAGAGAGAAAGAGAGCGAGCATGTGCACAGGAGGAGGGGCAGAGGGGGAGCGAGAGGGAGAGAGAGAGAATCTTGAGCAGACTCCATGCTGAGCCCGGACCCAACAGGGTGTGGGACAGGGAGCCTCAATCTCATGACCCTGAGATCACAACCCTGAGATTGTGACCTGAGTCGAAACCAGGAGTCATAAGCTTAACTGACTGAGCCACGCAGGTGCTCCCTATCCTGTTAACTTTTCTTAATAAAGCAATAGATGCCTCATCCACAGTGTCCATGGCATACCTTCGGTTCAGGTTTTCATCCTTTCTGTTTTTCCTGAGCAAGATCTCCGCCAGAGCGGTGCCTGGTGGTCTCCCACCAAGAGCCCGTGGTCTGCTGCTGCTACAACCCGGCCTTCAGGCAGGTGGTCAGCTGCTCTGAAGCATCTGTAAGTATCAACTCTCGCTTTCTTTAGCAATGATGGATTTGTGAGCGTGGGCCCAACCCCATCGTCCTCACCTTGGAGCTGAGCAGAATGTTCTGGGGACATTCTGGCCCCGGAGGTTAAGAATTCTACTAGACTTCTTCAACTCTACTATTTATCAAGTATTGTTTGGACACTCTTCTTTGAAAGCTGAGTGGAAGAGCTCACAGTTTCCCCAGTGGCTTGTAGTGTGAGCTCTTTGGAAGACCTATCGGGTACTAAGGAATGGTATTATTTCATGGTCCTGTAAGATGATTAATGCAACCCTATGACTTACCTTGTATCTCTAATCTGGAGCTAAGGGTATGGAACATTCCACGTTCACTTCCCCGTTCACTGGCACTCACAAGGATCATGCTGGCCCCCTCCTAGATGAGTGACGCAGTGTCTGGTCCACAGGAGAGGACATAACCAGGGTTCCTTGAATAAGGAGTGAGAGCAGAGAAGCACCCACATCCCATAACCCATGTCCTTCTGTCCTTGAGCTAATGGGGGCAGGGCAAGTACATCCCAAGTATACTCAAGATGTTTAAGTGTTTTGAAATCTAAATCATTGGTTCATTCATTTTCTGAATCACTGGCCTAGGCTCTTGAATTATAAGCCAGTGTCCCAGGCCATCTGGCTGTGCCCTCTTTCCTTCTTCCTGCAGTTGCCTGGCACACCCTGTCTTTAGGTTTTATAGTCCTGGGGGGCACCACAGTCTTGAAATCTGGACCTGTGCTCTTCATGTTCACACTCACGTTGGCATTGCTCCCAGTGAGACACAGTTGTCTTTGCATATGTTCTTGTCAGTCACTCAGCGATTAGTCATCACCACAGTTTTATTAAGTATTGAAAGCAATAGATTATTTGGTCTGTTGATCAAAAGTTTTTTATGATGACTCAGTCTCACTTCATCTCAAGGAATGTAGATTCCTGCATAGTTGGGACTCCTACTTATAAAGGAGCATTTTCCCTCCAGATTTATCAGAACAACCTGTGACTCTAAGGACGCCAACCTTCTGGTCTCAGCATCCTGCCCAAGCCTGTCCCTGGAGCTGTCTAACATTTTCCAATCTCCACCCTGGAATCTCCTGCTTCCTCCTCTTCTCTTACACTCCACAGCAATCCTTCAGGGTCCAACTCAAGTGCTCTCTCTTCCACAGATCTTTCCTTCACTGCCCTGGACTCATATAGGCACCTCCTTCTTCCTGAACCCCCAAGTTAGTTCCTCCCAGGTGGTGCTAGATTCAGTTCTCACTTGTCCTGCTTTGGGTCACACGTGTGAGCCTTTGAATCTCTTATCATTCACCAGGAACTTAGGGCAACCTGCAGCTCATCTATGTTTCCTTCCTCTTCCTTCTTGATCTGTCAAAGCCCTTCTTATTCTTCAATGCACAACTCTGGATATAAGTTCCTCTGAGAAAAGTTCCTAGATCCCCCCCACACCCAGGCAGAAGGAAGGGCTCCATTACCATTTGGGCTCCTTATTCTATGCTAACACAGTCAGCCTCCTTCAATAGCATTGCTTTTGATAACCCGTATCTTCCCTGCCTGTGGGTGGTAAGGAGATGTTGAATTGAGATATAAATACTCTCTCAGCTCTTAACTGTATTAGGCACATGCTGGTAAACTCTCAGATAATTACTGAATGGAGTTATTGATTTGAGTATTTGCTCACCTTGCAGATCTGTGTGAAATCTTTATAACCCATGCCCACTGTCACGACTCACAGTATCTAAGCCACATTACAGCCTATATTTGTGGAGGAGAGAATGTAGCCCAAGGTCTTCATGATGCCTGAAGTTATTAATACCACTACACCATATTTTATTCATTGAGTTGCCTAGAAGAAAACTAAGGACCACCAGCTTTTAATTCTTCTGAAAATTTTATGCTTGAAAATGGCGCCATGTAAACTTAATAAATACTCAGTCAAATGTTTACAATGTATGACATTGGAACCACAACTTACTCACATCCATATCGATATATCCAGTTATATGTACTATGGAAGTTTACTTTTCAGGAATAACGAATAATTTTTCAAAAAAATAAAAATTAAAAAATTAAAAAAAGAATAATGAATAATTTTTCAACGGAGTTTAAGGCTACAAATATTTTGTAAATGTTTTAAAATGTAATAGCAAGATTACATTTCATTTGGGACGTGGTTGCATTTTAATATGTTTAATTGAATGGGAACTTCAAAAGGAAGCCTTGCTTGGGGCAAGGAAGTTCTTAGAGGATCCCTGCTAGGGCATGAAATCCCATCTACAAAATGCACCTAAAAAGTATAAATAGCACGTTTAGACTTTTCTTTGTTCTATAAATAGAACCCTAAAGTCATTTTTAAAGATATTTTAATTGCTCGCTTCAAACTTTTCACTCCCATTTCCTGCAGTAGCTGGCGGTGTTCTTGGGGGAATTTCTTTTTAAGGAAACAAACGTGTGACTATTTAATCACTTAATGGGAAGACAGATCCAAAGGAAAGATGTCTCTGTTGGGTATCATCCAGGGTTTATCTGCCCCACTCTGGGCCCTTCTCATTTTTCCATGCCAACTGGTACTTCATTCAATTCTGGACCTCAACCATATTACAAATCACTGTATGTTGTGAAGCTTTGGGATGTTTGCAAATGTTAGAATAACTAAAGTAAAACCCAGTAATGCTAAGGTTCTATTGCAATATTAAGGAGAGCAAATGGATGTACCTGAGTTCCTCCAGGAACCCTGACACTATAAGAGGACAGAGGGTAAGGAAACAAAGTGTACACTACAAAAATCTGGTCTCAGGTATTTGAAATCAACAACAGTGAGAGGATGCCTTCTCGTTTTGGGATCAGAGACCTGGAAGTCTTTCTAGGTTGATGAAGCAGACTCTTTCACAAAGTGAAAGACTAAGAGGAACATTCAGTAGTTCTGAGAACGAGTGTGTCCTCAGGCATTTTCCCTCTCTTCCTGTCACTGCCTTTGGGTACAGGCTCCAGAAAGCCTGCCCCAGAGGATGCTCTCCTTAGGGTGGGCACTTACCTACCCGCAGTCATGAAAGATGCCTCTCCACTCCCTTCACAGATGATTCTCATTCAAAGGTTGCTCAAGGGATGGGGCTGAAAGAAAGCAATTCCCCCTGGAACCAGTTGGACTGAACAATATCTTAAAGCTGAGGGTTTGCAAGATATGTCCATCCCCCCAATAGGCCATTTATCTCATTTGGCTTTGTCTTGGTGCCAAATAAATTTTGCTGCTCAAAATTCAATCCACACTGATTTCTCTGATCCTCAGTAGCCAGGAGATTTTTATCCAAAGATTTCTAAATTTTCTCATCTTCTCACTGAGTGTTATGGGATAAATTGTGCTCCCCCAAAATTTGTATGTTGAAGTCTTCACTCCAGCTGCTCAAAATGTGATTATATTTGGAGATAGAGCCTTTAAAGAGGGGATTAAATTAACACAAGGTTGTTAGGGTGGGCCCTGATCCAATCTGACTGGTGTCTCTATAACAAGAGGAAATTTGGACACATAGAGAAACCCTGGGTGTGCACGCATGGAGGAAAGACCATGTGAGAACACAATAAGAAGGTGGCCGTTTGTGAGCCAAGAAAAGGCATCTCAAAGGAAACCGAACCTGCCAACAACTTGGTCTTGGACTTCCAGCCTCCAGAACTGTGACAAACTAAATGCCCGTTGTTGAAGTCCTACATTCTGTGGTATATTGTTATGCAGCAAACAAATACACTGAGGTAGCCAACTTGCATTGGACTTACCGATGGATACTTTCAGGGTAAACTTTCATCTTTCATATCCAAGACAATAGACTTCTAAATGCAAATTCCCTTTAATTTGATAACCATTCTCTCTGTGTCACTTGTTTCCAACTTCCGGATACAGGTGATAAAAGTGTGGGACTTCGAAACAGGAAGGCTGTTGTCCGGATTTACTGGGGCTCATGACAATGCTGGAATCACATGTCTGACCTTCGACACCAGTGGAAGAAGGTATGTGTCTTCTTCAGTCTCTTCAACCATTAGGCAGTGAGATCCCTGACATGATTTCCTGACAGGAGACTGTTTCCTAGGCTAATCACCGGGGGCAGAGACGGCTGTCTGAAAATATGGAACTACAACAACGGACATTGTCTGCACACACTGAAACACGGCAAGTCGCTTCCTACCAAGTGTTCCTATAACATAATGATGAGGGATTGGGCATTTGTTGTCAGTGTAGAAGAGACAAATGAGATGGAGTCTAGAATGCATCTAACAGTCCTGCGTCCCTTCATTTTACCAATGACTACACTGCTACTGAGGAGAGCCATACGTTACATAAACATACGTGCTCCCAGCCGAGCCTCGTGCCCTCAGTCCTTTAATTACCTGGTATATTTATTTGAGTTCTCGAACGAGCTTAACTTTTCCGAACATTTTAAACATCACACAAGTCAAAATCTAGACAAACAAACTAAAAGCTAGTCTGTTTTATGCGTTATGGTGATTCCCCCCGACCCGCCCAAGGCAGCTCTATTCCACTAGTTCACATGCTGTGCCTGATCTTGGTGGAATTTCCACAATTCTGGCCTGTCACCCTTGTATGAGCAAGATAAAAGGCAGATGGTCTTCAACTCTCAGAGAATATAAATGAAGTCGAAGTAAAAAAGGCAAAAATCACTCAGGGTAATGAATTTGTGATTCCCAGATCTGCTTTTGACCTGCATGCATTCACTTGTTCACTCACACTCAGCAAGTGTCGGGCACCATGGAGGGTCCTGTCAGCAGAAGGCCAGCCTCTTCCCAGAGCTGAGCAGGGGCGGGGCCAGCCTTTTAGGGCAATGAGTGTAGCCGGAAACCAGCAGTGCTATGGGGCCTTGAAAGACAGCTAACCGTGATCTGAAAACTAGAAAGTCGTTACTGAAGTTTTCCCCAGTTATCAGTTTGTTTGAGTCAATATGTTCAAGCTGGTTCAAGAAGTGGTAAAGAAAAATGTCTAATATACTTTGATAATGTGATCTTTCTAGATGAAAAGCAAAGTGAAGTCTGTGATTGCACCTACGTGGAGGTGAACCAAAATAAGTGAGTTTTATTTGGCTTGGATATAGAGAGGCATCTTTCTGATACAAAATCTATCCTGGAGGAAGACACCAAGAGAGTGAAGGGAATTTTCCAGAAGGAAATGGCTCAAAGAATTTCTGAGGATGCCAGTTGCTCCCTGATGGTAATTCAGGCAGCTAGGCTCTTCTAGAATATTATAAGCAATTCTCTGCCCATTTTGATGACTGCTTAGAGGTAGAGATAGGGAGCACTGTCTCTCCACCAAATGCTTTCTAAAGGAGTAAAGCAGACTAGATCACTAGAGTAATGAAATTTAGCACCCACAAGTCAAAGAATACACATCCCATAAATCCTCTCCTGAACACTATGAGTGAAAACAATTCCTGATCAGTTTCTGTTTGTGCCTTGCCTCCATGGTTCCACAAGGCTGTTAGGAGAGAGTAAGCCTCGGGAGTGCAGCTGCTCACAGAGCATCATCTATAGATCTTGGAAATTATAGATCCCTTAAGTACCAGTGAAAACACTGACCCTAATTTATCCAATTACATTTTATCTTGTTCTTCATAAAAACTCTCTGGTTCTCTCCATTTATCCACAAAGACATGGCAAAATTAAACCACAGTCTTGACTGCAGGCAAAAATTAAAGAGATAATAAGCTTAAGTATTGAAACGTGCTACTCTGTTACTGTTCTAGGTGTATCATAGCTGTTGGATGGGACAGAAGAATAAATGTATATTTTGTAAGTGGAATATACCAAATTAGGTATTCCAAACCCTGCTTCCGATTGCTATCCTCCCCCCACCCGTGGATTCTTTTCCCACTGAAAACAACGTTTGTAGTAATTCCTCATGCTTCTTCTCTTTACTACAAGTCATGATATAGACAGAAGAACTCCCCCTTCCTTCCCTTTCTCCCTTTAAAAAACCTTTTTTTAAACGTTTTTTGTTTCAGTCTCTTCCCTCTAGTTCTCGCCTATGGGAAGAAGTGTAATGACTCTGCACACAGTTCTGGGAGGGGGTGGGTCCTACACCAAGAAGCAAGTGTCTGACACCAGGTGTTGTCCTATAATTCAGCTCAATCCTGACACCATCTCCCTGGAGATGGTATTGGATCCCACAGGTTATGGACTTAGTCTCACAAGCTGGTCCTTCTTGTCCCTCAACTTCAGAGACCTCCCATGCTCCCATCACTTAAGAAATTCCTAAGCTTTTGGGAGCTATCCGCCAAAAATGGGGACCAAGACCAAATACCTGTTTCTTATCATAAACCACAATACCACAAAGCGTTAGCTAGAATTGCTATCAGAGGCACAGAGGATTCTGTGGATTCCCTGGGAATCCAAAGCAGACCATGCCTTGAACGCGTAGCTCTCCACACTTTGCCTCATTCTCTTACCCCTTGTACAGGCTGGCATGCTCCCTCTTCCCCTGCGTACAGGGCCTTCAGCTGTATCTCACATACCTTTATCCCTAACTGAAGGTTAACCTCCCTATCAACTGCGCAGCCCTTTATTTTTTTCTTTCTTCCTCCCACTTTGTCTTTCTGTCCTAGTTCCTCTCTAAGTGGAAAGAGGAAATGAAATGCCATCCATAAGCAGCTCTATGGGGGAAAAAATTCTTTTTTTATGGCTTAGAGAAGGGGAAGGGATTCAGAGACAGGGGAAGCTGAAAATGCTGACTGCAGCTAAGTTTTAAATCTACCTGTGACATTTTATTTCCCCTGCTTGCTATGCTGGATGGTCATGGATTTCCAACGGTCTTTAAACATTGTAAGTTCTTTATTCATTTGAAGGTGTACCATATTTCACAGCCTAAGCCTTGCATCCCCAGATGATTTGAAAGATGGCTACCTGAGAAGCCCTGGCGTTGAATTCGTCCTTTGGTATTATAGGTTCCTGAGCTGAAGGCTTTTGTTTTAACACATGCAACGGCTATGGGTCTTATTACAAAGACGAAGCTGTGCAGACCATCCAAGCAGGATTTGTCAGTTGACATATGATTTGTTGAAATGCAATCACCCAAACATCAGAAGTGGATTGCTTTTTATTCCCACCAGCACTAGGGGAATTTGCTTTGACATTTCGAAAATCTACATCACTGGTGGGGTGAGGGGTAGGGTTATAAAATGTGCCAACACCTTCTCTCTGAAGTTGTGAGTGTGTTGGCAGCTCATTTCACTGCTTATAGAACGTCTCCTCTTTGGCTTTACATACAGGATGCACCACGTGACTTTCATCACTTCTGGAAGCCCCAGCCACACTGGCAGGATGACCTGGTGAGCCCCAGTCCACTGTCTGACTTGCACTCAAACGGGCACATGAGGCAGATACCTTTCAGTCCAAGGCTCTGCTGTGGCAGGATTCATGATGGGTCCAGGTAGAGCTGGGAGCTTGAGCTCCAAGTAGCCACTTTCCCTCCAGGAAGAGTGACAGCTGGGGTATGGGGCCACAGAAACCAATCCACGCAACTCTCTGTGAGCTCAGCCACGACTCATGTGCCGGAATGGCAGCCGAAGACGTGGTGGGTGTAACTTTGCTCAAAGAAGCCTCTACTTCTTGCTTCTGCTTGGCATGCAAAATTATATGTAATTACTGTGTCATCCTTGGGCAGCCACAGAGCCTAAGAGCTTACATTCCTGCCCTGTGATTTGTTGGGGACCCATGAGCAGGGAGTTCTTGTGATTCTTATTAGCAAAGTGCCCCCCCAACTTTCTATAGCCTCCCAGGGTTGAATGACCTTCCTCAAAACTGCCTGGATGCCAAGCCAATAAGACAAGTGCTAAGAAAGAAAAGTCACTGTGCCCAACCATCAGCTGCCATGGCTCAACCCTACCTTATACCCCCATAAATATTCCAAAAGGGACAAGTCACTAGAATACAAACTCCAGGAGACCAGACCTTGTCTGTCTTCACCATGGTATTCCCAGGACCTAGCCCAGCGTCTAGTTTATAGCAATGCCCAATTCATTTGTTTTCATTCAGCTAGCATATGCCAAAGGCCTATTGTGGGCCGAGTCTGCTTTATTCACTGAAGACGAAGTGATGAGCGAAGTGGTCATCTCATGATCTCTGCCTTCCTGGGGTTTGTGGATTAGTGATTATTGAGTGAAAGAACAAAGTTGTGCAGAAAATGCCCTGGAAGTGATGGCCACTGTAAGGATGGGCATCATGCAAGTCCGTGAAGTTCAAATACTTACTCATTCAACTATTAATTCACTCAATACATATTTTTGAGCTGCATGGATTGGTTCCAGGTGAGTCTTCTATGTGGGCAAACACAGAAGGAGGAACCCATCTGCATCCTCTGTCTTAGGCATCAGATGAAGGGGAGCTAGCTGGGGGTGATGGGGGATTTGACTTCTTCCCCATCCCTCTCCATCTCTCTCTTCCTCAGAACCACAGGCACAAGGAGGACATCCTGTGTGTGGCTCAGTGCCCACCTTTTCTTCTTGCCACCTCCAGTTATGATGGGGAGATCATCATTTGGAATGTCATCTCAGGCCACATATACTGCAAGCTGAATACTCCCACCCCCTCTGATGATGCAGAAGATGGAAAGGGTAGGTCAGGGGTAAGCTCCTTGGCTACTATGCGCAGGCCCTAGCAGCCTAGGACTCTGGCATGTCCTAAAGAGATCTCAGTTCTGGACAGCTTCCCAGTTTGTAGCTATTAGCCTGGTTTCAGGTTTAACCTGTCGGCGGGAGATTCCCAAAGCTGGGAGGAAATTTAAGAGTTTGGCTAGCTCAGTCAACATCCCCAGGCACTCATCATCAGATGCTGTCTCAGTCCAGCCCACCACCTCCGGGAGTCTTTTCTCATCTACTGTCCATCTAAAGGACTCTCTGCCCTGTTGAGTCCCTTGGGCTTTGCTTCAGTGCTGATTAACCCCTCTGTCTTCACAGGCTCCTTTTGCCCAGCAAGCAAGGCTACTCTCCCAAGCCACTTCAAACATCATCTTCTGTTGTGTCACTCAGCTATATGCTCAGGCTTTATGCCATTTTCTCCATCAACCCCCTCAGGTGGCACCCAGGGTCCCAGAGTCCTCATCCCCTACACTCTGCCACATGGGTCAATCCTTATTACTTGTATGTATGCATACACACACACACACATACACATACACACACACACACACACACACACACGTATATATATGTGTGTGTATGGTGTGTGTGTATATCTATATATATATTTCACATATATATACATACTTATGTGTGTGTGTGTATGTATACATTAAAGATTTCATGTATTTATTTATTTTGAGAGAAACCGTACACAAGCAGGGGGAAGGGGAGGGTGGTGGGGAGAGAGAGAATCTCTAGCAGACTCCCCACTGAGTATGGAGCCCAAAATGGGGCTCAATCCCAGGACCTTGAGTTCATGACCTGAGCTGAAACCAAGAGTCAAACACTCAACAAACTGAGCCACCCAGGCGTCCCTTATTACTTGTACATTTTATTCCAAAACTTTTCCCCAATTTCTCACCCTATTCTCCCTAAAATTTATGCCCTGGTTCCATTTCTTCATGACCCTCTTTCTCTGCTAATGTGATCATGGGCCCGTTCATTCATGGCTTCATTCAAAACACACTGTTGAGTTCCTGCTATGTGCCAGGCCCAGTGCTAGGTGTTGGGGCTGGTAACCACACCTCTCTCCAAGTCACGAACCCTTTGAAAAACACACTTATCTATCCACTTCATGGCTGGCTATGTTGAATGGAAAACCATGGGAACCCACAGCCAAAGGCTTCCTACCACTCCTTGCCCTACTTCCAGAGTCCAGGTTCATCCTTCCCAAGTGGCAGTCTGTAGACACCCATCTGCCAATAGCCGAGAGACCTACTACCTCACACCCATGGAACCCCAACAGGGAGATACTGGAGATTTTACATAAAACTGGGGGATTCTTGCATCTCCTGAAACCCAACCAGCAAACCCTCAGAAAACCCCACCCTGCAATCTCCTGCTTGAGGCACCTGATAACTTATTAGTCAAAGAACAGCTCTAATAACTCATTTGATTAGAAAATATCTTTGAGCCATTCCCATCGACATAACCCTGAGGGAAATGCTTAGAAAAGACTAGAGAGAGACTTGAGGCTTGATGCTGCCTTCAAATGGCTCACAGTCTAAATTAAGACACAAGATGTGCATGCCCAACAGATAAAAGAATGATAAAGCAATGCCTCGGGACTGCTGTGATTGAGACACTCTGGAAGGCAGTGTCTAGAAACTGAATACCACGAGATTAAAAAGAAATTCTTACCTGTAGACTTTTTTTTTTTTTAAAGATTATATTTATCTCTTTGTCAGAGAGTAGAGAATGAGCACAAGCAGGGGAATGGCAGGCAGAAGGAGAAGCAGACTCCCCGCTGAGCAAGGAGCCCATTGCTGGACTCAATCCCTGGACCCTGGGATCACAGCCCTAGCAGAAGGCAGATGCTTAACTGACCAAGCCACCCAGCCATTCCAACCTGTTCCCTTATTACTCATTCTGTTCCTATCCCCTTTTCTATAACATAAAAAAGATTCTTCTATGAGGCTCTTTCTGCTAGTGCCTAAAACTTTTAAAAATCTTTGAGGGAAAAGCGGTGGCATTTCCTTCTAATGATTATTTTCTTTGCCATTAAAATGAAAATAAAGTCTCTGGCCAAGAATGCAATGTTGACCTTTTAGCCAGCAGCTCTAATTTAAAACCCTGTTTGTAGCAGCATTTTTTGCTTAAAGTTATGTGACTGCTGGCTTTGAGAAACTCCTTTTCTCCCCCAAATATGAAGCCAGCCATAGCTACCAATAATTCATATTTCTACATTGCACAAATGAGATGAAAATATGGGAAAGTGCCCTATCCTTCCAGGAAAGACGAGTATTGGCTCTTCTTGAAGGTCAAACCAAAACCCAGTGGTCTTTTTCACATGGGATTGGTTAAGAGGTCACCATCTTATTTGGAAAAACTGTCCAGACTGTTCTTCTGAAGTAATTTTTAGTAGAGAGGGGAGCTAAGGGAGAAAGGCAATGGTGTAAGCCAAGCCAAATGAGACCAAAACAAATACTTTCTGCTGGCTTTTTGACATTTTAGCTTCATTCTTCCTTATATTGGGGATTGTCACATCTTCCTTGACATCAAAGAGAGAATTTGACAGTGAAAGAGAACGACAGAGATTGTAACCAGACTAAAATCCAGGAAAGCAGTGGGCTCACGGAGAGACTAAGACTTTTTCTTTTTTCTCCTCCCTCCCCCCTCCCCTCCCCATCTTCTTCCTCTTCCTACTCCTCTCCTCATAATCCCTCCTCCTTCTCCTCTTTCCCCTCCTCCTCCTCCTCTTGCTTTGTCTATTGTGGTAAAATACACACAACAACGTGTACAGTGCAATGGTATTAAATACGTTATGTGGCTGAGTAACTATCTCCACTACCCATCCACAGAACCTTCCATCATTCCCTCTTAACACCAGCTCCCCAGCCTCTCCTCCCCGCCGCCTCCCCTTACACCTTCTGTCTTCATGATTTTGACTACTCTAAGTCCTTCCTGTAAGTGGAATCATACAGTATTTGTCTTTTTGTGACTGGCTTATTTCACTTACCATAATGTCCTCAAGTTTCATCCATATTGTAGCTTATTCAAGAATTTACTTTCTTTTTTTTTTAATTTTTTATTTTTTTATTAACATCTAATGTATTATTAGCCCCAGGTCTGTGAATTGCCAGGTTTACACACTTCACAGCACTCCCCATAGCACATACCTTCCCCAGTGTCTAACCCCGCCAACCTCTCCCTAACCCCCTCCCTCCGGCAACCTTCGGTTTGTTTTGTGAGATTAAGAGTCTCTTATGGCGGGGCGCCTGGGTGGCTCAGTGGCTCAGTGGCTCAGTGGGTTAAGCCGCTGCCTTCGGCTCAGGTCATGATCCCAGAGTCCTGGGATCAAGCCCCGCATTGGGCTCTCTGCACAGCGGGGAGCCTGCTTCCCTTCCTCTCTCTGCCTGCCTCTTTGCCTACTTGTGATCTCTGCCTGTCAAATAAATAAATAAAATCTTTAAAAAAACAAACAAACAAACAAAAGAGTCTCTTATGGTTTGTCTCCCTCCCGATCCCATCTTATTTCATTAAGAATTTACTTCCTTTTTAAGGCTGAATCATATTCCATTGTGTGTGGATATGCCACAGTTTGCTTATCTGTTTTCCCATCCGAAGACAACTGGGTTGCTTCCACATTTTAGCTATTGTGAATAATGTTGCTATGAACATAGGTGTACAAATATCTCTTCAAGACTCTGCTTTTCAATGATTTGGGGTATATACCCAGAAGTGGAATTGCTTGATCATGGGGGGTTTTTTTAGATTTTTTGAGGAACCTCCGTACTGTTCTCCACAGTGGCTACACCAATTTACATTCCCACCAATAGTGCATAAGGTTCCAATTTTTCCACATCCTTGCCAACACCTATTCTTTTCTTTCTTTCTTTCTTTCTTTCTTTCTTTCTTTCTTTCTTTCTTTCTTTCTTAATAGTCATCCTCATGGGTGTGAGGTGGTATCTCCTTGTGGTTTTGATTTGCATTTCCCTGACAAGTGAAGTTGAGCATCTCTTCATGTGCATATCAGCCATTTGTATAGCTTTTTTGGAAAACCGTCTGCTCAAGTCCTTTGCCCACTTTTGAAACAGGTTTTTCTGTTTTGTTTTGGTTTTTGTTTCTTTTTTTTTTGTTTTGTTTTAGTTTTAGAGGTTCTCTCTAGTCTAGATATTAATCCCTTATCAGATATATGATTTGCAAATATTTTCTCTCATTCTGTAGGTTGCCTTTTTACTGTGGGTAGTGTTTTTTGATGCACATTTTAAAAAAATTTTCATGAAGTCCAATTTGTCTATTTTAAATTTTATTACTTGTGCCTTTAGTGTCATATCCCAGAAATCATTGCCAAATCTAATGTCCTGATGTTTTTGTCCTCTGTTTTCTTCTAAGGGTTTTACTGTTTTAGGTTTTACCTTTAAGTCTCTTATCCACTTTGAGTTAATTTTTATATGTAGATAAGCATCCAACTTCATTCTTTTGCTGGTGGATATCCAGTTTTCCCACACCATTTCTTGAAGACCGTCCTTTCCCCATTGAACAGTCTTGACACCCTTATCAAATATCATTTGACGAAAAATGCAAGGGTTCATTTTGGGGCTCTCTATTCTATTCCATTTGTCTACATGTCTGTCTTTATGTCAATACCACACTGTTTTGATTACTGTAGTTTTACAATAGTATTAAAATTGAGAGGTGTGAATCCTCCAGTTTTGCTCTTCTTTTTCAAGATTATTTTGGCTATCTGGGGTCCCTTGAAATTCCATACAAACTTTAGGATGGGTTTTCTATTCTGTAAAAAATACCATTGACATTGCTTTGTGTAGTTTTATTTTATTTATTTACTTTTTTTTTTTTTTGAGGGTGGGGGGCGGAGGCAGAGGGAGAAGTGGACTCCCTTCCGCGCAGGGGACCTGATAAGGGGCTTGATCCCACGATCCCGGGATCGTGACCTGAGCTGAAGGCAGACGCTTAACTGACTGAACCACCCAGGTGCCCCTAGATTGCTTTGCATAGTATTGACTTTTTAACGATATTAAGTGGGCTAATCCATGAACATGGATGTATTTCCATTTATTTATGTCTTCAATTTCTTTCAGTAATGTTTCGTAGGCTTCATTGTGTAAGCCTTTCACTTCCTTAATTCCTGAATATTTTATTCTTTTTGATGCTATTGGAAATGGGGTTGTTTTTGTAATTTCCTTTTCAGATGGTTCCTTGTTTCTATATAGAAATGCAACTGATTATTGTGGGCTGACTTTGTATCCTGCTACTTTGCCAAATTCATTTATTATTTCTTAGATACTAAGCTTTTTAACTAGGAAACTAATATAAAAATATTTATTTATAACTAATGATATTTGTTTATTATAACAATATAATATTTAATAAATATAATAATTTAAGTAGTATTTAGTATTTAATAATAATATAATTATAATTAATATAACAAATATTTTTAAAATACTATGTTTAATCTTCTATGTCATTTTCCTGAGTTCTTTTTTGTTTTGTTTGTTTTTTAAAGATTTTATTTATTCATTTGACAGACAGAGATCACAAGTAGGCAGAAAGAGGCAGGCAGAGAGAGAGAGGAGGAAGCAGGCTCCCCGCGGAGCAGAGAGCCAGATGTGGGGCTTGATTCCAGGACACTGGGATCATGACCTGAGCCGAAGACAGAGGCTTTAACCCACTGAGCCACCCAGGCGCCCCTTCCTGAGTTCTTTTAATATTTTATCTCATTTAGTTCTCACATTGACCCTGAGAGATAGGTACTATTGCACCCATTTTCATAGATCAGGAATCCAAGGCGAGAGAGCTCAATAACAATGATTATGAGAGGGCCTGAGTCTACCATGTCCACTATGGTTTCCTGAGTGCACAGCACAGTGCTGAGCTCAGAGGCCAGAATAAATATTGTTGAATGATTAACAACCTGATACATGAGTGTCCTCACGGTGTTAAGTACAAGGAGCAGCACCCCTCGCATTTAACTCCAGTACCAACCCCATTATTTATATGGCCCTTTATTTACATGAGACCATTCATTGCAACTCTACTCTGGGCAACCTATGTACCCTGGAGCCCACAGACTCAAGGAGGGAAATATAAAGGGAGTTCCTTGCCCACAACCTCAAGTAGCAACGTTCTTAGTGGCTCTCACAGCTTTGCTTCTAAAGAGCTTGTTGGAACTTTTCTTCTGCAGCAAATAGTTGAGTTCTGTGTGCCAAGCACTGTGAGGGGATTACAGATAAGTGATATAAACAAGACAGATGTGGCCCTTGTGTGGAGGTCCTGGAAATCTAGCCAGGAGACTGGAAGACCAAAGCGAAGCAGGGTGGTGGACTTTGAAGTTATTTAGACACTTGGCTGTGCTGTGAAGATCGGGGTTTGACGTCTCTCCCTAGAGAGCCCTCTCTGCCCCCGCCCATAGTATCTTTCGAGATTACAGATCGGATGCTGCTTCCCCTGAGAAGCCTTCATCCTGCAGGTGCCATCAGCATCCTGTTCATTCCTGGGGCTAGTTCTGCTTTGGTTCGGCTCTCTGCTTCCCTTTCTCTCTGCAGCCCTTAGTGCAATGCCTCGGCTGTACCAGAGATTTAACAGATGATGATAAAACAAGCAAACAAACAAACAAACAAGTGAATAGAAGCATGAACATCTTTATGGCCTTGAGCGAAGCTTTTCACCTTTATAAGCCTCTACTTCCTCATCTGGCCATGGGGTTAATAATCCAATAAACCATGGGATTTCACATGGTTTTCCATCTTGGTAAATGTCAAAGGTGACGTAAGATTAATTCGTATTATTCCAATCCAGGAATTTTTGGAGAGTGGGGCTTCTTGAGGAACACCCATAAAATCCTGGGCAAATTCTCCCAAATCCTTCACTCTCTCCAAAAGCCCTAGGGTCCTGCACTGCCAGGCCATTAGCCTTCACACCTGACTTCACCTGGGTTGGTTCTTAACCAGCACAGGTGCCTGCTTGCCTGAGCACCCCTGTATGCTCAGCTCCAGCTTCAGGCCCACGGTGGGGTATGGAGGTGGCAGAGTTGCAGGAAGGGGGCAAGAAAGGGCTGTGAGCCTGATGGAGATCACAACCAAACTTTCCCTGGTCACCAGGCCCAGACCGGTGTGTTTCCTGCCTCACCTTCCTGAAGTCTCGGGCTGCCAAGTTTGAATCAGCGGCCGCTTCCCTCATCACCAATGGGCCTGGAGGTGAGAATGGCATCCCCCAGAGGCTGTGCTGCTCTTTGCTAAGACTTGGTCACTGAAAGCCCAGGTTTGGAGAGGGGGGTCCCCAGTCACTCATTCCTGTCCTCTGCAACCTCTCCTATCCCTCCCTCTGTCTGCTGTCTCTCCTTGGAACCCAGGCTGATGAGGCCCCCACCCTGGCCTGCTCTGGCCCAGTCCTGCCAGCCAGCGAGGTGGTCACATGGAGAGTGAGGGCCTGACTCCCCCTTCCTCCAAATCAAGTTTCCTTGCCCCAGCTGCCCACTCAGAGGCCCTCTGCAAGTGAAGTGGGCCACAGAGGACATCACTGAGTCAGGCTGAGGAAACGCCAAGCACAGTCTGTAAGGAGAAGGCCACAAGCAGCCACAGCACATTCTGGAAGGGGAAGGCCACAAGCAGCCACAGGCGGCCTGACCAAAGAGCCTGAAGAAGACGAACAAAGAATCCTGAGTGGAGATCAGCTATGTAGCCTGCTCATTTTAGGACGAAGAAGCTGGGGCTCCCCCCAAGAACTTGAGGATGAGCTTCTGAGTCCAGATCTGCCACTAACTAGCTTGGTGACATTCCACAAATGACATGACCCCTCCGGCCCCCCACTGTGGGCTTTAGTAAAATGTAACAAGTGGGTCACAGTCCTGTTTCAAAGCTGTAGGATTTTAATTAAAATTGCGAGTTGAAAGCAGCCAGACACCTGTGTTCCGGTGGCAAAGGAAGGCTTGAGATATGTGTATTGGTCCCAGGGTACTTGGTCGTCTGTGTTCTTCTCATCATGTAGTGACAGAGGCTGTGGACTCAGGGTCCCAGCGGCCCCCCAAGCTGCAAATGTCCTTGGATGTTTCTCTCCACCCTCTACCATGAGGTGTCCATGGCTTGTGCTTTACCCAGTGGGAGCACAGATCCCCTTTGCTCCCGAGAGAAGAGGAGGAAAGTGCATTCATTAGGGAGCTCCCAAGAGGATGCAGTACACATGGGGTCCCCCTTCACAAAGGCTTGCTTCATGAACATCCATGTATAAAACATGGTCAAGAATTGTGCATAACTGGTAGGCCAAAAAGGACCTCGCCACCCCCTCCCCAAATTCCTTTGACTAGGCAAGTCCCACAGTGTGTGTGAAATAAGTGCTCATACATACAGGCACACAGATATGCACGTGAGGCGTGCACACTCACACACACACACACACACACACACACACATTATTGCTGTAGCCCAAATTTCTGGACCCTTCCTCTATGGCCCTTCTCATCAGGAAATCTGCCCAGATTAATGGAGAAAGAAAAGGCTACTGAGCCAGTTAATCCAAAACCCATACAGAAGACCCCCGCCCCAGTATTTACTGATAATCCCCGCCCTAGTATTTACTGATAATTCTAACTTATCCGTTAGCCAAGGGAGAAAGAACAAGGCCCTGGTGTCATGAGGCTGCAGGGCCTGTCAGCAAAGGCTCAGACGCTCAGCACAGGGGTGGGGGGTTGGGGTGGGGTGGGGGGGGCTTACACAGCCTCGCTGCCCTTTCTGCTGTCCCCTCCTCACAGGTTCTGTCACCTTCTGGAAGCTGTTTGGTGGGGCCTGTCCCATTGCAAACTTCACTCCTGTAAGTTGGGAAGTTGGTTGGAAATCACTTCCAGGCTTTGGGTCTGTTGTTTTTTGTTTTTGTTTTCTTTTTTTAAAAGATTTTATTTATTTATTTGAGAGAACGTGTGAGAGTACACACAGGGGTGGGGTGGGGGAGAGGCAGCAGGAAAGGGGAGGGAGAAGCAGACTCCCCACTAAGCAGGGAGCCCCATGCAGGGCTCTATCCCAGGACCCTGGGATCATGACCTCAGCTGAAGGCAGTTGCTAAGTGACTGAGCCACCCAGGCACCCATGTTTTTTTTTTTCTTTTTTGACACTAGCCTGGCTATGAAACACAGCAACTCTTTTTTTTTTTTTTAAAGAATTTATTTATTTATTTGACAGAGATCACAAGTAGGCAGAGAGGCAGGCAGAGAGAGAGAGGGAAGCAGGCTCTCCGCTGAGCAGAGAGCCCGATGCGGGGCTCGATCCCAGGACCCTGAGATCATGACCTGAGCCGAAGGCAGAGGCTTTAACCCACTGAGCCACCCAGGCGCCCCGAAACACAGCAACTCTTATGGGCTCCAAGTTCTTAGCTGTATTTTTCTATATAGCATCTCCCTATCTCGCTGAAAGATTAACACAGGCACAGTGATTGGTTCTTGCTATAAATGAGATATAGCATTCCACTTGCCATTGTCTGACAAGCAAGATAAAGACATTGCTTTATCTGCAATGACCCTGACCCCACGTGTATCTCTGATGGACTACATATGTGTGCACATGTGTTTATGTGTGTGTCATGGGCCCTATGTGTGTGTATGTGCATGGGTGTCTGGCTATCTACGAGTGGCCCCGTGTGTACATGTCTGTGAAAGGCTATGCTCGTGTGTATGTATGTGTGAGGGGCTATGTCTGTGTGTGTCTGGGATGCACCATGTGGGTGTCTCTGTAATGGGCGCTGTGCATGTCTCTTTCAGTCCAGGGACAAAGCACAGGTCAGCAGCATCGCGGTGACAGCAGGAGATGCCCTTGTCTACGTGGCTGACCAGGAAGGTTTTGTGCACGTTTATGACATCAAAGAGTACGGTCTGCAGGGACCTGAGCTACAGTCCCCCAAGAGTAAGCAGTGAAGGCTCCTTAATACCATGATTAGCACAGCTTCAGTTTTAATTGAATGTTTTCATTGGTAAAATGAAATTGTACCAGTGAGGATGGGAGGGGCTCTCTTCAACCCTTTACAAATGGATATAGTAACAAATAGCTTCATGAAAATATTCACAGTTGGCACAGATACAGGAAAATGGGCACTCAAATGCTCTTAGATAGCAAATTGGTATATACTATCTGAAGGGCAAGTTGACAGTACGTATCTAAAGCTTCAGACCAGCAGTCCTACTTCTAGGCATGTGGCCGAAAAGAATAATAAGACAAGTGCGGGTCACCTGGGTGGCTCAGTGGGTTAAGCCTCTGCCTTAGGGCTCAGGTCATGATCCTCCTGGAATCGAGCTCCACATCAGGCTTTCTGCTCAACAGGGAGCCTGCTTCCCCCTCTCTCTCTGCCTGCCACTCTGCCTACTTGTGATCTTTCTCTGTCAAATAAATAAATAAAATCTATATAAAAAAAAAAAAAGTGCCCAAAGATTTAGTTATCAGGTTGTGAATCAAAACATTGTTTGTGTGAAAGACAATCATTAGAGACAAGCTAGATATCCAACATAAGGAGAATTGGTTCAGTACGTGATGGTATAACAAATACACTGGAATACCATCTGGTCATTAAATAATAATGCTGTAAATGAAAATGTATTCACAGGAAAAATATTCATGGTAAATTATTAAGTGAAAAAATTCAGATTGCGAAATTACTGAAGTACGAGTCTTTGTTAAAACGAAGAAGTATATGGAAGACTGAAAGTCTGGAAGGACATACACCGAAGTTTTAGCAAATGTTAGCTCTTTGTAGATGAGGTTATTTATTTTTTATTTTTGGAAATGTGTATTTTCTAAGTTTTCCAGAAATATATTGGTTTAGCAGTCAGAAAAATGTTTAAAAATTTAAAACCCTTTCAGCAATTGTAAAAGTGCTCAAGTTTGGAAAAAAAAATTAGACAGCACAAAAGAATGGAAAATGGAAAGTAGTAGTTGTTAACTGTGAACTCTACTGCCTCCTAACCTGCCCTTGCTGCATCTGGAGAACACTGTTAATGAATTTTCATTTTCTTCCAGAAAATTTCTATCCATACATATAATCCATATATAAATACAGGGGCACCTACATACACACAATACATAATTTTCAGGACTTGTTTATTTTTTTCTTTGTGTCCCTTAGACAACTTTCTAACTGAGCATATTTAGCTTTGTTTAGCATATTTAATATCTAACATATATAAATGGTTATATGAAACCCCATATACATTACTATATAACTATTCGATATAATATAGAATATAGCATTTCTATATTTCTATATGTGTATATAAATACATTTCTATAAAGCCAATAGAGAGGTAAATATTTGCATACTTCCACTGAGTCATCTTTTCCTGTTCGCCACAGAAGTGTAAATGCTAGAGTAAGAGAAATTGAAATTTAAGAGTAAAGCCACCTGCCTGGTCTAGGTCATTTACTCCAAGTACTGGGAACATAGCTCTTACCTGGCTAATTCACAAAATAATTCTCATTAGTTGTCTGCTTCTGCATGCTTATCAAACCCTAAGCACTGAGGGAAACCATAACATAAGCACCTTGCACAGGACGCATTTTGTACATCTTTGGACCTGGGATAGGGTCTTATTACATAGTAGGTGCTCAATAAACACTTATCAATTAATATAACAAAACTAACGACTGACACACCAGTACCTCTCCCCTTGCAGGACACTCATCCAGATCTGACCCTGTACTGTAGGAATGGTTGTACAGCATCTCACATTAACTCCCACTGTACTCAGGTGTGTTCTTTCTTTCGATTTAGATGTGACATTCTGGCAGGCCCATGTCAGTGTGGTGACATTGTGAGTACCATCCATTTTAGAGTTCGAAAATTTGTAAGAGTTAAAATACTTTTCAGAACTTTGATCACATTAACCTTCTCAGAAGGTCTCTGAATTACTTGAAATAGGAAGACAGTATTCTAGTCCTGCTGTTGGTGAAAGAAAATATAGGTATTGTTTGCACAAGACTGATTGGAAGTCTTCATTTTTCTTGTAAATGGATGATTGTCTTCCTTGACTAGATCTGATCTGGTATTTTACTATAAGTTTGGAAATTTCGTTAATTAATTAATTAATTTATTTATATTTATTTAATTTTTTTACTGAGTTGAAAGGCGTCAGTGCTAAAGGCATGACCTGAACTCTGGCTGGGTTGTTTTTTACAACCTTGTGATCTACCCCCTAGGCCCATCATCCATAAGATGGTTTCCAGTGTATCTTGTTTGATACCTTGGGGTTGAAGCTGGAGAATTTGAATAGTGTGGTATGGTAGGAGTCAGGGAAAGAATGGTACCAGGAATAATTGGGGAGATTGACTTGGTTTCTATATTCCAACTATAATTAACAGAGCTTTGACATATTGATCCAATGTGTCTTTCATGCTGGACAAACCTTGGAGCATCTCTCCTCCCTTTCCATCTCATTAGTCTGGAGCTGATAGAAGAAAAGTTTCTGCTCTCGTCCTCCCTTGACCGCACGTGCGCCTGTGGAGTGTGGACGGGAAGTACATAGGTATGGAACATCTACCTGGCCATTACCTCAGTCCCAGTTCAGGGTTTCTGATGTAGCCTCTGTTGAGTCATGAATTCTCCAAGTGGCCAAGTGTATTAGTCAGCTCAAGCTGCCTAACAAACACCATCCACCAGGAGACTGAAACAGTAGACATTTATTTCTTGCATGAGAACAGTTCTGGAGACTGGACGTCTGGGATCAGGTTCTAGCACAGTTGGGTTTTGGAGAGAGCTCTCTTCCCGGCTTGTAGAGGACCATTTTCTTGTATCTTCACATGGCAGCGAGACTGCTCTGGTATCTCTTCTTATCAGATCCCAGTCAGATCAGGGTTTTACCCTTATGACCTCATTTTCACCTTAATGACTTTCATAAAGGCTTAATCTCCAGATATAGTCACATTGGGGGTTAGGGCTTTAGCATGTGAGTTTTGGGGGGAAAACAAAATTCAGGCCATACAGTAAAGTCAGCTTACTTTCACAAAAATTAGCAAAATCAAAGACAGTTAAACTTTAAGAACTCAGCCAGACTGAGCTCAGTGAGTTTGGTAAGGAACCCTGTTATCATAGGGTCATGTTTCTGTAGGAATGATTCAGGACTGGAGGGGCTGTGTATGGGGAAAGGCCTAGCCAGGGTCGGCTAAAGTAATAAGATTAAACTGACTTACTGTGTAGAGAGACTCTGTATATTTATTTCAGTGGGTCATCTTGTTTCCCTAACTGATACCCCTTGAAGCAAATGTTAAAACTGTTTAGAATTTATTCTGTAAATCCTTAGTATATTACTGAGTAGTTTAACCGCCCATGTGATGCATTTTGTAGGAGGCAAACCAGGCTCAGGTTTCCAGAGCCAACTGCCCTGGAGTTGTTTCTTAAGGAACTATGAAAGTGGAACTAAATTTGATTAGGTTGACCTAGCCATCTTAGCAGTAAGCTTTGCTCCAATTAGAAGCCAGGTTAGCTCCCATACTATGCCTTTTTGTCTCTATTCTTCCAGGAACCTTTGGGCAACATAGCCCCTGGAATATTTTCACTCCTGCCTCCTGGAGCCACCCTAGAGTGCCCTATGAAATTTTGACAGATCCCCAGAGCACACCTGCTCACCCAGTGCTGGGAGGGGATGTGGCTGTTCTGCACACAAAGGAGGAGGAACAAGACAAGGTGATGGAGGAAAAGGCTAAGGTTGGTCCCGGCACATCCAATTCACATCTTTGCCTTTTGGAATTTCGTGGCTTGGATTACAAACTGCAACCTGAAAGGGTCAAGGAATGACCCAGAGAACCAAGTAAATACAGGGATTAAAAGTGTGTCCCTAGATCATGCTACCGACCAGAGCTATGTTAGGGGTTGGGAGGGTAGGGATTGTTGGTCCATCTGTGGGAATGGTTGAAACTCGTCTCCTAGGGTCACCTGACTTTGTCCTCCTTTTGACCAACAAAAAGGCGACTGTCTATGGCCTTGGACTGTAAGGAGGAGACTTAGCATCAGGCTCAGCCCTGCAGTCACATCTGAGAAGGACAGACACTGACAATTCAGCCCACTGCACACACTCCCCTTTAAGAAATACACACAAAAGCTTGGCTTCCTAGCAAGTGATAGGAAGAAATGATCGGGTTAGTGCCCTAGTCTATGAAAGTCAAAATTGGAGCAAGAGATTTTGAGAGGGCTCTGGTAGATGCAGTCTTGATTTAGAGCTTAGTGAAATATATGGATTTCCAAGAAACGCTTGCCCTTTAATAAATTGAAAAGAAGGTCATTTCATGAGCTATTGCTCACTGGTTATGTTACAACTCAAAGCAGAACACCTGCTCTGCCAGCAAAATAATGTGTCTCAGATTTTTCCTTGGCAGCCTCCTAGAATACTGATCACACAGTGTAACCTCGTTGCTGACTTTTCTGTAGAGCTCCAAACATACTCAAAATAGGAAATAAAGGGACCCGGCAAACATAGATCAAGAAAACCTTCTGTCTTGTCAGAGGCCTCTCAACATTGCCACGATCGTGTTCTCGTAAGCATTCCCAAGGTTATAAAGAGGTACCGTGGTGGCTCTCAGGAGATCAGGATGTGTCTACCCAGCACTATCGGTCTATTTAGAAATACCATAATTTCCGTGTGCATTTGATATAGAGCAAATAAATGAGTTCATTAATTTTGACAGACCCACAATTTGGAAACAAAAGCACAGAGAGAGGTGGGAAGAGAGGAAGGCCAGGATGAGGGAAATGTGCTGACGTGCGCAGAAGCCAGGCGGATGTTTGGCTGGAAGCAGTCCTAGAGAGAAATTCTGACTGCAAGTCTAATGTAGGAACCGGAAGGAGGGAGCTGAGGGAGAAGGGCAAAGCAGGAGGAAGAAGGAAGGGAGGGGAAGGGAGAGGCAGGGAGGGAAGGAAGGCTATTCGGTTCAACAAATCAAAATAGATAATTTACGTGATGTTTGTTCTCTGAGAGTGAAAGGGGGTGGGGCAGTGGACTCCAGGATTGACCTTGGTCTTGTGTAGATAAACCATTAGGTGCTTCTGTGTTTATTATCCTGTCCAATTTGATTGCTGTTACCTCAGGAAACAGTCTGTCAATTCTTTCTAAGAGAAATACATGGGGAAAATTAAGAAAAGAATCTCAGCCCTTACGTAGAGTATTTGGGCCAGTCAATGGGAATCCAAACTGTGAAATTGCAGAATAAAGTGTTGGCAGCTCTGTTTACAAGGTAGGGTCTCCTGAGTTCTGGTCTCAAGTTCACCTTCATTAGATGTGTGACCTTCACCAATCACTCCTATTAATCTATGAAACGAGAGGGGGATCAGCTGATGTGTGTGTTTTGTTCCAGCCCTAAAAACGTTAGGTTTCTCTGTATGTCTGTTTTGCAAAACTGAATGTGTTGATTGGATTCTGGGTGTCAGTAGCAATTCTTCCAGAATATCAGCATATCAAATACAATCACAACTAAAATAAGTTGACGGAATGCAGAAAATCATTCACCTGGAAAATATCTCATATGAGTTGGTGGTTTGAAAACTTGAGTAAAATCTCAGGGGAAAATGTTCTTGTTTTCCAGCAGATTCAGCCAGGCTGGATCTTGTTCCAACATGGAAAATTCATGTAACTGACAAGTTATCCCTGTTCCCCAACCAAAGTGTGATCTTGGGTTCTCAGTCCCATAACTGTTCCTTCTTCTTCCAGCCTGAAAAGACCCCTAATCCTCGCTCTCCAGAAGACCCCATCCCTGAAGTTGAAATGAAAGAAGACATCGATCAATGGTATGCATTTCGCAATGGCAGGTTAGCCTAATAGGAATAGGCAGGTTGAAGTGAGGGCCCCTCTGAAGTAAGGCAGCCTTTCCTGGCTGAGGCATCCCACACCACTCTGTCATCAACATGGGTCACTTGTCCCTTAGACTATAATGAGGTCATCATTTAAATCTCGCCAGTGTGATGTCCTACCTGCATGACTGGACACCCTGAGCCCCAGTTTTGTCTAGCCATCCCAGGTGGCCAAGGGCGACCTTGTTGAGTTCTTCACCTTGAGCTCCATGGCTGATGTTGCTGCCTTCAAGGCCATGTGGGGCAGTACTCCCTCACTGTTCTTCTTGCAGCCGCTCAGACTTCCTGAGGGTGTGGGGTGAAGATCCAAAGCTCAGAAAACATGGGGTACCCCAAAGGCCTTGTGTGCCCTCTAGTTTCCCTGCACCGGGATGTGGCTGGGTCCCACAGAGAAGTGAGATGAATGAAAGCGTCTCTCCAGTTCTGTGAGGTGTTTTGTTCTCCAGGCCCCATACCAGCTGTCTTGGGTCCCAATCATCAAGGGACCTGGAAACAGCTACTCAGTGTCACCTGTTACTCCTTTCATCATGGGATTTAGATCTAGGCTGTGGGGGTGCATGAGTGATGACACCACCCTGACTTGCCCATTTCCATGGTGCAGTGGTTCCAAATCATCAGGAGCCCAGACCTCTTCTTTGTACTTCTGCCCAGTATCTTCATTCTGGTTTCTGTCTTCACTATCATCTTATGGTACAAATAGCCGCCAGGGCCTCCCACTTTCCAAATAGTCTGAAGAAACAGGATCATGGAGAACAGATGCCCAGGACAAAAGGGAGGCACATCCCAGCCAGAACTGCTCCCTTTATGAACTTTTCCAGGAGGTCCTACACACTTCTGCTTACATCTTGTTGGCCAGAACTTAGACACATGGTCACACCTAGCTGCAAGAGAATTCAAAGTTCTGTAACCAAGAAGGAAAGCAACAAAGGACTTTTAGTAGGTGACTAGCCAATCTCTGTTCCAGTGGGTCAAATAGTAGGATGTTTCAGACGCTATCAAAATCAGAAGGCAGGGACGCCTGGGTGGCTCAGTTGGTTAAGCAGCTGCCTTCGGCTCAGGTCATGATCCCAGCGTCCTGGGATCGAGTCCCACATCGGGCTCCTTGCTCATCAGGGAGCCTGCTTCTCCCTCTGCCTCTGCCTGCCATTCTGTCTGCCTGTGCTCGCTCTCTCTCCCTCTCTCTCTCTCTGACAAATAAATAAATAAAATCTTTAAAAAAAAAATCAGAAGGCATCACACATGGAAACCCTACCTTGTGTATCATGCCAGAAAAAAGTTGACAGCCATGAATCTAAAGTTTGGTTAGAAAATGGCATGGACAAGGGGTGCCTGGTTGGCTCAGTTGGTTAAGTGGCTGCCTTCAGCTCAGGTCATGATCCCAGGTTCCTGGGATCGAGCCCCACATCGGGCTCGCTGCTCAGTGGAGAACCTGCTTCTCCCTCTCCCTCTGCCTGCCACTCTGCCTACTTGTGCTCTCTCTATCTCTGTCAAATAAATAAATAAAATCTTTTTTAAAAAGAAATTAAATGGCATGGACAAAGATTAGAGTTACAGGTCTGTCTTTGAAAACAGTGTGACCTCAGGCAAGGCATTTAGACTTCCTGTTGGTACCCAGGATCTCCCAGGAGGATCTGTGATCTAAGGAGATGGTGAGAATGACGTTGTGTTTGTCTGGAGACAGAAAGGGAGCAGGAGTCTCCATCCACAGACACCTTGGGTCTTCATCATTGTCATCACAGGTGAGGGCAGAATCAACATCATTCTTTAAACACCTTTGCAGAACCAGTGTGGGTTTTAATTGCCTCTCCTTGGAGTGTTAGTCTGCTCAGGCTGCTGTAACAAACCAGTCTTACCCAAGTCTTACCCAACAGACATTTATTCTTAGAGTTCTGGAGGGTAGAAGTCCAAGATTGAGGTTTGGGGCAACTCAGTTCCAGGTGACGGACTTCTCACTATGTCCTCATGGGGTGAAACAAGAATCTCTCTCTTCTTCTTCTTCTAAAGACACTAATCCTATCCTAAGGGTCCTACCTCATGACCTCATCAACCCTAATGACCTCCCAAAGACCCCATCTCCAAACAGCATCACACTGGGGGTTAGGGCTCTAACATCTGAGTTTTGAGGGACATCGTTCAGTCCATCTCCAGAGATGGCTCTGGGTGTGGGGTGGGACAAGGCTGCCAAACAACATAAACCAAGAGCAGGAGGCAGCTGTAGGAAGATACCATCATGCTCGTTAGGTCCACGCCAAGAGGGGCAGCATGAACGTTGGCTCTGGACTCAGCATCGATTCTCTCTTTCTCTCTGCTGCAAGGCCACAAGAGTGGAACCTTAAAGGGGGGAGCTGTGAGCAGTGAAGAAAAGAGGCCAGAGTGGGGCTGCTTAGAGAGTCCCAGCCAGGAGGGGAACCAGTGGAAATATTCTCATCCAGTTGGATGGACACCAGTTTGTTGGGCTACTTAAAACTCTATATTTTTTAAGGCAGAGAACCCTACATAAAACAGTAAATGTTTTACTTCAATTTGCAACAGTAAGATATACATTGTTCCCCAATCTTTGGATTTGGGGCCATGACTTTCTCTTCAACCAAGAGACAATTCAGCACAGCCTTCCATAAATACATTATATACGGCTTCAGTTTCTGCTCTTTTTAAGTAGAGCAAGAACTGAAAGATACTTGCAAAGCAATATGAGCACAGTACCCTCCTAGATTTTTAGAATTTTCCACACACTTTAAAAATTTGTCCCATCTATCCTCAATTCAATATCACCCTTCTTCTTGTCTTCCCAAAGAATTCGTCTTAGTTTTCACAAAATGAAAACTATTCACCCGAATTTCATTAAATTTCATATCATGTAAATTGATTTATGACCGCAATAAAAGGTACTCCTGGCATATAGATTTGGGAACAAATACAGAAGGTCTTTGTTAAGCACACAACTCAACCCTCAACCATTGGGAGCAGATGTGTCATTGACCAGCCGTGACCGTTGGGAAGCTGTGGGCATCGGGCACGGTGTTTACAGGGTCAGTCAATCCATCATTTCAGTTAAGAGGGCATCTACCATGTGTGATCCTTTGAGTAGCAAGAATCAAAACAAATCAAACGGATGCCTTTCTCTGGACAGCTTGGCTGTAGCATTGAGGACAAGAAGAAGAGAACACGGGCAGGAAGCAAGAGGGCTATGACCCTGTCCTTGGTCTACCCATCAGATACCTCACCTGCACTTTCTCAGTGGGGCCTGCCTTCTCAAACAGCACACACCTCATCCAACACCAAAAAATATTGGGGATCTTCCAGGCCACCTCTGATGTTTAGGCGGGAATTACTAAATGATCTTGTTTCATTCTCATAGCATCCTGGAGATGGACTGTGTGTTTTCCACACTTATAGATAAGGAAACTGAGGCTTGGGAGTTGACCAAAGTCAAACCACTGGTCAGTATAAGGCTGGCACATGGTGTCACCGGTCTGTGAAAAGACCAGGCCTCAGAGAAGGGCTTTTATATGAGCATAGAAAGGAAGTTGTAGCTTTTTTTTTTTTTTCTTTTGAGGCAGTGGAGAGGGGTAGAAGGAGAAGGAGAGAGAATCCTCAAGCAGACTCCCCACTGAGCATGGAACCCCAAGCGGGGCTCAATCTCATGACCCAGAGATCATGACCTGAGCTGAAACCAAGGGTCAGTTGCCTAACCAACTGAGCCACCCAGACGTCCCCCTGAAGTATAGCTTTACAATGCTCCAGATAGGAAGTAGAAGCTGTAGGCAATGGGCAGCTGATCGTGGAATCAAGCACCCTCCCCCAAACGCAGGCCAGAGTGATGGCGCTAGTGTTAACTAGCTGGGGTTCACTTGTACACAAAGGGGTAAGCAAGCTGCCAGGAGTAGGGACTTTCCGGGCTTTGTGGGGTGAAGCGAGTCTGGGAGCGGCAGACTGGGAAGAGACCCTGTACCAGGAAGGCGAGTGGGTGACTCAGTGACCATGCATGGAGCAGAGGGAGGGAGAGGATACCCTTGGACTCTCAGAGACACGGGGGGTGGGGGGAGCTACTGACAGAGGCCATGGAAGCCAGGAAACAGAGAAGGGCACCACAGAGACAAACGGTGCTCTAGGGAAGGGTAGACAAGTATACCTCCTATACCTGATAGATGCAGAACATTCAGGCTTGGTCTCAAGATTTTTGCCGGAAATTGTACATGGATACTTTCAGGGCATTTACACTGCCCTCAGCTGGGCGTGGTGAGAATAGAAGAGTCTGTGACCCGAAGGAGTTTACACTAGGGGAATCAGGGAGGTTGTCTCCAGGCTCTAGCCCTTCACCGCTTGGCTGTCCTCTGACAGCCGGGGTGCAAAGCATCGTGGAAACAGTAGTGCAGGCTTCCTGGAAGAATGGTTCGTACCCAGACCTGTAAGTTGAATAGGACATAGCCATTCGCAAGGGAACCTTTAGAGAAGGAAGAGCGGCTACAGCCTGGATCGACTATAAGGACATTAAGCTAAGTGAAATAAGCCAGAGGCAAAAGGATGAATCCCGTGGGACTCCCCTTACAGGAGAAACTAGGAGGAGTCAGCCTCAGAGAGACAGAGAGGCCATTGCCAGGGGGCTGGGGGGAGAGGGGAATAGGGAGTTGTAGTGTAATGGGGGATAGAGTTTCCATTTTACAAGATGCAAAGAGTTCCAGACATGAACGGAGGCGATGTTTGCACAACAGTGTGAATGGGCTTAAGGCTACACAACTACACTGTAGTTCACAATGGCTAAGATGGCACAGCGTGTGTTGTGCGAATGGCTCGGATTCTGGGGTGGGGGAGGGGGCGACTGTGGCAAGGACTTGACTATGAAAGGATTCTGAGAGGTGGGAGTAGGTGGCTTTTCAAGGTGTTGAGAAATAAACAGGAGGGAGATGAGCTGCTGACAGAGGGTGGATAGAGGGGTGAGTAGAAGAGACCAACATGCCCCTGGTATTGCTAATGCAAGCCGTAGGATGATGGCAAGGACCACCGTGCTGAGCAGGGGGCTTACGTTTTGGCAGGAGGCAGCAGGGGGCTGAGGAATTGAGGAATCTGCACCCTCACCTGGTTCTTTCCCTCCAGGCTGCCGCTGGACTGGAGCCCATCTTCCAGGAGAACATGTGGGCTGGGGTGGCCGAGCATCTTCCAGACCCTCCGGTGCCACGAGGTCGCCTGCGCATCCGCTGTCGGGGAGAAGCCAGACTTGTCTATTATCGGCTCAGATTTGTTTAACGTAAATTTCCTCGCGAAGGAACAAGAAGGAGGTGAAGCTGCCCAGAAGGAGCACTGATCACACAGCAGTTTCCCTGTCTGCGCTCTGAAGGGACCAGGTTGCTATTTTCTTGGCAAGTTCTTCTTTCCCAGTTAACCTAGATGTCTGAGCGAGAGCCCACTTTGCCCATCAAGGGCCAGGAAGAAAGACCAAGGAGTGATTTCGGCCAGTGTGGGCTTCCTCCCAAAGCGATTAGAGCTTGAATTGAAGCAAACGAGTCAGATTCAAGGTTTTCCTTCCTTGGAAGCCAAGATTTCATTGAGGGAAGCCAGCGCAGAGCTGACGGGCTGCAGCTCCAACACACGCAGATATCACCAACCACCGCCATCCGCCGCCGTGGATGGACAGGAAAGGGAGGCTGCTGGGAAAAATCCGACAATTTCGAAAGTTTGTCTTATGCCAGGCAAGCCACGGTTAATCGCTGGAATGTATTATCTCCTTTATTCCTAATAACACCTCTATGAGTAGATACTATTAGTGTCCCGTTTCACCAACAAGGAACCTGAGGCTCCGGGAGGTTAGACGGCTGGCTGATGGCTATCAGTTAAGTAAATGGCAAAAGAAAATCCAGAGCCCACGGTCTTAACTACCAACAATGTGGACCGTCAGAGCTGAGAAAAGCAGGCTCTGGGAATAGAATCAGGAGGCCGATTGCCCTCTCCTTTCCAAGCATGGTCCTAGAACAGCCATTCTGAAGCTCTCAGCCCTCTCAGAGACCCTGACAGGGGTAGAAAAAGAATAACAAAGCAGCTGCCAGTCACAGCGACTTGCTATGCCAATCTCTCCATGGGCGTCTTTCAACCCTGAAGCAGCCTAGGGAAGGTGCATCCCTGCTTTACAGATGAGAAAACGGTCCTCGGAGAGATTACGGGTTTTTTTGCACAAAGTCACACAAGCCAAAATTTTCAAACTTCAAACCTTAGTGTGGCCCCAGTCACCAGGCTATAAATCTCCACCCCTAATTCAAAGCCATCACTTTGCAAAGGAAGGCAGCAAGGTACAGAGTACCACAAACACAGGAGGTCTCGACCCTGCAGTCCAGTACTTTCCAGTACCGGCTCACCGGCTCTTTGGTCAGTCCATGAGCAGTAGGCTTCTCAGAAGGACAGGAGAGGTACTGTCTTGGCCATGCCCCCCCACCCCCGCATAGGGCAAAGAGTCTGCATGACTGAGAAGTGTCCCACTTCTGGACCGTGCTATAGGTCCTGGGAGCTGGAAATGTGAGTCCAGATGACCTTGAATCTGTGTCCAGAGTCATGCCGTGTCCTCGGAGATTTGTCCATTCATGGAGAGACTCACACAGTCCCAGCTCAGCAGGGCAGCAAAGGGGGCGGGTATGTGCTGGGGTGCACGCACACAGTGGACATGCGTTGGGGGAGGGTGCCCATACATGTCCGTCATGGTGCAGGAAGAAGCCAAGGGTGGAGGGAGCAAGAGGGTGAGCTGGGCGCTGGGAGCCAGAGGCTGCCCTCCCTGCATTGCCAGATCCCCATGGAACTATGAGGATTCCAAAAATTCTACAACCATCCTGGCCTTCTGGAGCCTTCTGAGTGGCCAAGGTAGGAGGAGAGAACACTCACCATCTGTTAAGATTTTAATGAACACTTTGTTAACTTGATATTTAACTTTTAAAGACTGAGCCCCCATTTGTACTCTTGCCCTGCCCCCAAGCATCAGGGGTGAGCCTGCCCCTACTTCTCTTTAGCTTCTAGACTCCTCTTGTCCCCCACCCCAAGGCTCCTGTGACCTTATACCTTATTTCACCCTTGCCAAGAATGTTGGATCCTCACTGAGTGCTTTTTAGGAGCCCCCTCTCCCCCAACCCCCATCTTGAAGGGCATTCCACAGGTTTCGGTATTTTCAGTAGCTCCCGGGGAGATGTTGCTCTGCTTCCTGGCTAAGTTGTCTGCTTGTTCCCTGACATTTTTCTGACCAGCCACGCAGCAGCCCAGACCTCAGTAACTCCAGCTGATGCCGGTAGAAAATGCTCACATCAGGGAAGACTCCTGGTTCCCCATTAAATAATCCAAGCTTAGGCAAAATGAGAAATGTATTGATTCATAGAACCATGGGGAAAATGGTGACCAAGAACTTAACAACCCCATCAGGACTGACCTTCTATCTTTGTCCCTGTGGTACTGTCCTCTTTTTCTCTGCAGACCAGCTCTGTCCCCCTTGCAGGAAACATGGCCACAGCAGTCTCTGGGTTTAATTTGTAGCTCTAATTCCACAGAGACTGACTTCAAGTTCTCTTGCATTCCAAGCCTCAAATCCCTAGCAAAGAGATTTGCTGCCATATCTTGGGTCAGCACTTACCTTGGCTCAAACCAAGTGAAGGCTGGGGACTGGTTCCTTTAAAAATGGCTGGTCCCTTAGATCCATAGTGATGCAAAGGCCCTGCTTCTCCTGGAGAAGAGAAGGGGGCTGGGTACACAGACATCCTCTGTATGCCTCTGAAGGCTAGACAATTGATTCCCACTGCCTCAGACTGTCAAACTATGCCTATCTGCCTATCTTTTCCTTCCCCTTCCCTCCCTCCCTTCCTCCTTCCTTGCCTTCTTCCTGACATGGGTTTAAATCCTGGGTTTTCTCCAGGCTCCAGAGGCACAGAGAGGACCTGCTCACTGCTATGTTACCAGCTTGCTGCTGGGCCAGAGCATATTATTACTTTATCCCTTAAGCCTTAATATCCTTAACTGCTGAAAAGGGAAGGGGGAACAATTTGCTCCCACACAGGCTTTGCGCTTCTGTTTCTGAATCTTTGAGCCTCCTAAGCAACCAATCTACCTTGGCCAGACCACTGTTCCCACGATGCTTTATGTAAACCTTTAAAATACTTGATCTCTCCTTATTTTAATGAAGTACTCATTTTTAATCCTTTATTTTTGGACCATAACATTTAGAGTTTAATCCTTGGGGTTCTAGCCTGCCTACTTGGTACTATTTTAAATTGAGAGCTCTGCATTAATGCTGTTTTGCTGAGGGCAGTGTTCCTTCCATTAACTAATCCCTTGAGGAAATAATGCCATTATATGAAGTCAGCGACATTCAAAACAAAACCCATCTTATAAATCATGCCAAGCAGCGTTCCAGATACCTCCAGGTGCAACTTCCAGTTGGTCTGGCCTTGCTGGAAGAAGATGGGGCAAAGCAGTGAAGAACATCAGATCTTTGTCTGACCCAGGTCTTCCCTCTGCCCCTTCCCACTCCTACCTCTGTAGCCAGAAGCCTGCTTTCTCAACTCCCTGCCTCCCACCACAGCAGGAGCAGACAGAGACAACCCCAGCATTACCCCCAGGGCCTTGAAGAAATGAGTTTGGGAAATGCTGGATTAAAGACAGTTGCTCGAGTTTGTTTACCTCTGACCCCATCTCAAGCTAATCACCTCCCAAAGGCATTGCCTCCTACCACCACCACATGGCAATTAGAGCTTCCACATATGGATTTGGGGGTGTTACCAACACTCAGTCTATAACAGAGAGTAATTTGTTCAGGATCATAAGCAAGAAGGTGGCAAGAGCCACGTCTGGGACGAAGTCTCCAGATTCCTCCATCTGTCCTGTTTCCCTTGTACATAAAGGACAGTATGGGGCATCATGGACTATGGGGCGTATGTGCTATGCTGGGCAGCTGGTGGGAAAGATTAGACTGGATAGAATTTGAGAGGCTGATGATGTCCGGCATCTGAACAGTGGCCCTGGGGAATCCAAATCTGCCCCGCCAAATAACCCCTTCTTCTGGTCAGATCCCAGACGGAGACAAGGAACAACGGAAGACGGAAGCAAGTGCCATTTTATTTCTAACTGAGATACCCGGTAGTCCCTTGGATGGACTGCTCCAGGAAGCTGAGCTGGGGCTAGGACAGGCTCAGAGCTTGACCAGCTCTTTCCTCCTCCTATCCAAATCTTACCACTGGACTTTGGTGACCTGAAGACTCTGGTGTGAGTGACCCACCATGAGTGGTGAAGCCCAGTCGGGCTCCCTGTCTCTCACCAGTGGCATTAGAGTGATGGCACTGTCTTCTCTCCTCTGTTGGGGACAACCCAGACTATACCACTTGGCTAAGCCTTGGAGCACAATTTGTTTGCCTTTCAAGGTTGCTCTGTGGAAGGTAGGGGCCCAACAAAGAGGAACCACAGTCTTTTCTCCACTCCATGAGCTTGAGGGAGGCTAGCTACAGCTCCTAGATGCTTGGTCGGCTGCCTCAGAGATTCGAAACCAAAGCAGGATCACTCTTCTAGACCCTGAAAGCCACTCTGTCCTACCTGAATCCTGACTGTTCCCAGGCCCCTCTCTGAGGCCAGCCTCTACCCTCCATCCCTCATACCACCCCATGTCCTATCTGATCAGGTTAAACCTGGGTCTGTCCTCCCATCACCCTCAGTTCTAAGGTCCCAAAGAGAATATTCTATAGTTTAGATGTTGGTCTGCAGTAATTTGGCCAGTTTGATATATCACGCCTGCCACCCCCATCCCAAGATACACTTTCCAGCCTCCCCTTTCACTTCTGCCTCCTGTTGTGGTGACTCTCATGAAGAAAGATGTCATTTGTGTGCTTCTTTATGACTGTCAGAGGTATTACTAAAGGCTTACAAATTTTAATTACTGGCTTAATATTCCTACACAATGACAAAGCAAGCACATTTATGTGGGAGATTTCTCTCCGGTGAAATACAGACAGGAGGACATGGTGAGGAAGACATAGGCACTATTTCTTCTTGTCCACTGTGGGGCCAGGTAGTGGGCTGAGGAATGGCTGCCCAGACCCAGCAAGTTCCCATCCCCAAAACCTATGAATGTGACCTTACTGGGAAGTTCTGCAGTTTTGCAGTTCTGATTAACCTCAGTATCAGGAGAGGAGGAGATGACCCTGGATTATTTGGATGGCTCCTAAATGTCATTCCAAGTGTCCTTGTGAGAGAGGCAAAGGAGAGAACAGGAGAAAGGGGAACAAGGTGTGGGGGGGTGACATGGAAAAGAGACATGAGGCCACATACCAATGGACACTTGGAGCCACC